GCCAGCTCTCGGTAGCACAAAGTACACTGGCAACAACATCAGCACCAAGAGTGTGGGCAGTGAACGCTGTGAGGATATCACACAGAACTACAAGTATCCTGAAGGTATAGAATCATAGAATAGTTAGGGTTGGAAAGGACCTTAAGATCATTTAGTTCCAACCCCCCTGCCATGGGCAGGGACACCTGTCACTAAACTATGCCACCCAAGGCTCCATCCAAGATGGCCTTGAACACTGCCAGGGATGGAACATTCACAATTTCCTTGGGCAACCCATTCCAGTGCCTCAGCACCTGCACAGTGAAGAATTTCTTCCTTCTAGCTAACCTGAACTTCCTCCTCTTCACTTTAAGCCCATAACCCCTCGTCTTCTTGCTACAGTCCCTGATCTAGAGTCCCTCCCCAGCATCCTTGTAGGCCCCCTTCAGATAGTGGAAGGCTGCTATGAGGTCTCCCTGCAGTCTTCTCTTCTCCAGGCTGAACAGTATGGGGTAGGCAAGTGGTTGAACACATTTTCTCTGCCATCATTACAAAGAGTGAAGGACTAGAGAGCAGAGCTGTACCAGCGCATTAGGGTCATCCACTTCTCACTACTTCCCCTTTCTGAGTGGTACAAGGACACCTTACTCTTGCTGTCTACAGAAGTCATGCACAAATTTCATTCTGCTCCATTGCATTAATGAGTTCTCTCAAGGGCAACACCCTTCTTCAGCAGGTACTTTCCCGTCTGGAAAACCTTTCCTGATTTCTGTTACCTGTACACTCTGTATCTCCACCTCCCATTATCTCTGTAATATATATATATTTCAGACTCCAGCTTTCTGAAAAGGACTGCTCCAGATACTGTCTAAATCGCTCCCTTGAAAAGTAGCTCCCCCTTCAGAATCTATTACTGAGTGCTATTTCCCTTACCCAACCCTACCATCCCATCTTAGACCATGGCATGCTGTCTCCTTGGCCGCAGTCCATCACAACATAGTCCTGTGCCCTAGCTACAGCCATAGCTAAAAAGGCAACTGCTTCTTTTATTCTGACAGATGTTAGCACCGAGGTGCTTTAAAAACTAAGACAAACGTTTCCCAATAGAAGCTTTTGGGTACATCCAATGACTGTCCTGTCAGCTGAAATTCTCAATCTGCTCCAACTGAAGCACAGCAGGCTCTCTCTATAAAGATAGAAACAGTTATCTACAGTACTGCCAGGATAATTCAATGCCATCATTCTGCATCTACTGCTTCACACTAGTAAAGAATTCTAAAACATGTGCTCCCTTGTGACAGGCTCTCTTCAGGAAAAAGTTGTACTTGACAAAGCCTACACAAAGATAAAGAAGCTTGAGACAATCAGCAGCAGCAGCAAAACACAGTTTAGCTTCGTTCCTACTGCCCTTGAAGAGCCAGTTAACCTCTTCATGCACCTCCAACTGAGGAATTCTCTGCTACGGGGACAAGATGTTCCACTTTCCATTGAAGTATTTAACCACAGTGGTGGAGAAAAGGCTACTCACCTGCTAGTTGGGGCCCAGTCTCTACATTATAATGGTGTTCCCATTACCCAACTTTGGAAGGAAGAGTTTCATTTTACCCTGAGAAGCAATGAAGGTAAGGATTCTACTGGGTGCATGGCTAGAAAAATGTGTCTAGTCCTCTCACTTCAGGAAAAATGCACTTAGCTGTAACTTTTCAAAAGGTTCCCAAACAGCTGATTGCAGGGGACAGAAATAAATTTTCTTTACGTTGACATTGACAAATGTTTTGAATCTGCAAATGCAGTTGGGATCACTGCAGCTTTTAGTACAGTATTGGGCATTAAACACCCTTAGGCATTATGCAGCCTAAGACCAAATAGTACTTATCATCTGCATTGTCATCTGTATTTCATCACTCTGTATTCCAGCTAACAACCTGCAAGTCTTTCTGCCTTACTCGCAATACAAAGAAGAATTGGGACAGGACCACCTGCTTAGGCTGACTGCCGTATTGAAAGACGAGGACTCCTTCTACATATACTTTGCACAGGAGGAGATCATCATTTGTGATCCCCCTCTCACTATTGAGGTTAGATCAGTTGCTCTGTTACTGCAGTAATGAGAAAACAGCTTTCATAGTCATAAAGAAAAAAAAAAATTCTGCTGGGTTGAGTAGCTCTCCTCAGGCTTTTTTCAAAGCACTGAGACATCAGTTTGGGAAAAGTGCGTTGTGTCACACTGTTGTATACAGTACTCCCTCTTCTACCTTATCTACGTGTGAGCATAAGAAATCCCAATGACTCCCAACTCACTCACCAGTATGGAAATCACACGATGCAGAACAGAACTACAGCAGAATACCATAGTCAAGAAGAAAGTAAGCTGGACTTTGCCCCTTCTGGCAATTGGCAGCTCAGACTGAAACCTCTCACACACACAAAAAAAAAAAAAAAAATCCTCCTTTAACCACAAAAGAATCTCTTTCCTTCTCTCAGTTTCAGCTCATTTCCTTCTTCCAACAGTTTCCAGAAAACATGGTACAGTATCAGCCAAGCACAGCAAAGATCGGCCTCCTGAACCCTCTCACCGAACCCCTGGAGAAGTGTGTGATAGTGGTTGCAGGGCGAGGGCTCATTTACAGACAAAGAAAGTACAAGTAAGTGCAAACTGAATTATCTAAGAACAGCTAAAGAAAACCCCTGTGCAGGAAAGGATGTCCCCAAAACTAAGTGAGCAACAACATGGCAGGAAGAGACTACAGCAGCATGAAAGCCCCAGGCATCCCATCCTTTATTGACAGATAATACAGAAGATTTTCACTGAGGAGAAGAAAATCCAGGTAACATAACTTTCAACAGATGTGTAATACATAAGCTGAAGTCAGTACAACATTTGTGAAAGCTTCAACCCCAAAAGCCTAGACAGCAGAAGGAAAGCTCCCTGCCAACAAGAAGGTTAACGAGAAGTACTACAAGACCTAGGGAGAAATACACATTAGATAAGACAACAGTTATAGGCTGCTGAAATGAGCTACAAAATTGAGAAATTATTTGCTGCTGAGAAATCAATTGTTTTTTAGATAGCCACATGAACATACGTGAATGGGGTGAAACTATACTCTTCGTGACATATCTTTCCACATACTACCCACTGTCAGCAATAAAGACAGTCCCTGGGTACAATTTTAACAGTCTACCCCTTCTCTGAAGAACCAGACAAACCTGGCTTAGCTGAGTCACCCAAAAAGGCATTAACCCTGCCTACACGCACACTGCTCTCAAGAAGCTGCATTATGGCAAAGTAACCTTAGATGACTCCATGGGGAGTTCAACCCTCCTGACATATATCCTGCCCTAGACCATAACCACATCATCACAGTTCCATTGGGATAGTTCAGGTAACCACTACCTGCCACCTTCCCCCTCTCAACCCCCTTTCCTTTTCTGGCCCCATACCTGTGTCGATCAAATGCACCTCCTGGGCCAGAAACTAGAACTACAAAGAGGCGTACTTCCTGCATAATCCCTTCTCACCTTTCAGGTTGGGCTCTGTGCAACCTAAAAGCACTCAACAGCTGCAAATCCCATTCACCCCCACCCAAACTGGGCCCAGAAGACTCACTGCACATCTTACCTGCCTTCAGCTCCAGAACCTAAAGAGCTACAAAACTATCAACATTGCAACTGCCTGATGCCCAATTTAGAACAGATCCTGCTGTTCTTTTACAGAAGAGCAGTCATGATCTGTGCCCTGGTCTCAGGCAAGCATAGATGTTAACAGCTGAATTAAAGATATTTAAAACCATGACTGACTTTGATTATTTGTACAAACAACTCTCTTCCATCTGCCATTATGCCCACTTTCCACTTTCCACCTTACTGTGGCAAAGTAAATGCTCAAGCAAATGCTGGATTTCTCACCATGCATATGTGCTGAACCCACCACTGCTTAGCCATTTTTCCCTACCATGGCAAAAAGGAATATCCTAGAACTTTAAAGTGATGACAGATGTAACATTTCTCTAGAGAAATACTATTATTCCTCTACAGATCCTTTACACTGGCAAAGTAGTAAATAGTATTTTCTACTGCGTTCTGAGGAAACAGTAAAGAGAAAGATAGGTCACTCTTCTCTAAGGTTAGACAGGAAATAGCAGCAGTACTACATGTTTTTAATGGTTCATTAAGCTTCCTGCAAAAGAAGCAAGACCCCTTCCTTCTGTACATATCCTCTGCCACCTGAAAAGATAAAGCCACTCATGCAAATCTAGCAATATTTTATTTTCTTTGAACCCATACTGGTTGCAATGTCTGAAGAATGGGGCATAGTCACAGCATTAAGATGCAGCCCTGCACCATTTCAGGATCACAGGAATCCAGGCAAAATTATACCTTCTGCAATAGCAAAGAGCAATTCCCTGGGAAAGTTTTACTAAGTGACAGTAAAGTTCTCTCCTAAAAACACTGTTATCATTCTCCCAATAGCTGAAGAATACCAAGATTCACCGGAAAAGTACATGCCAGAAACAGTGGCAGCAACACACACACACGGAAGAACTAAAGTTGACCCTGTGTGAAGTTCTTGATTTTGTTCATGTTGTGATCTACTGCACCAGTTAGAAACTGCACCCAGCCTTCCTCTGATGGTGGACATACATGGCTTGTCCTGCAAAAGTGGAGGAAATTCATTAGGAAAGCCTCCTGGGTGTCTTTACACCTATGCATCCAGACAACACATGGGTATTGTGAAGTGCTGCATTACCACAGTATTAAAACAGAACTGCTATAGCCCAAGTGCTTTGGACAAGGAAGAATCAACACCTGTGTCTCTAGTGCCAAACCTTAACTTATATGTGTGTGTCTTCAGTGGGAACCACTTTTATCCCTACCATCCTGTTCTTACTTACATTCCTTTGTGACTGACTAACATCATAATTACTGCAAAATGCATTTGCTGCCCAGAAATGAGGCACCTTAGGAAGCAGAAAGCTATCAACAGGGAACACACACATATAAAATTAACTCATACTCACCTTGTAATCTCTAAGACTTTCTTTAATACCGAGGCCAACTTAGCAGCCTAGAAAGAAACAAAAAGGAAATAACATCAGCCAAACATGTTTAAAGGAACTCAGCAGCACTGGAAAAGAAAGTAGGGTGCACAGCCAAGAATGAGTAAAACTGCCACAGATCTGATGCAGAAAGAAGTTATCTATCACTGCCATGGAGGGAGTGTCTCCCAGCCTGCCACTGGCTGGGACAGACAAAAATAAAGACAGACTGTGTTTTAAAGCATATGTTGAAATGCTTTTTTCTTTAAAAAGATAAAGCCTATTAGAAATTAGTAACTGATATTACGGTATAAACTTACAAGTGATCAACTGTCATGCAATTTGGTATTAAGCAATACTTTATTTCTTTACCTCAAAAAAATCAAGCCACTGGCCAAAGGCATGAAATCAAAATTAAGAATAAAAAAATAATCTCAGATATGAGAAGATACATAGCTAATCTATGATGCACGGGAGACCTGGAAGTTATCTAATACAGCCTCCTACCCAAAACAAGGCCTACCTCAAAGTTCAGTCAGGTTGTTCAGGGCCTTGCCCAGTCAAGTTCTGAGTATTGCCAGAGATAGGGATTCCACTGCTGCTCTGATCAGTTTCTTTCAGTACTTAACCATGCTCACTGTGAGAATTTTTAATATATATTTTTAATTTACATAACTTTATTTGAGCAAGTCTACATTACCCAAGGAGAAAGACATGCAGTAAGAGGCAGCCTTAGACCTCACTTTCCTGAGATACTGTCACTAGATGTCCTTATGGTTTATAGTTCAGAGCCAAAGCTTAAGTGGCCACCCTCTTCCCTGTCAAAGTAAAGATGAGGAATACATTTCTACCTGAAGGAAGCTAAGTCTGCAGGAACCAAAGGGGGACTCTTCATCCCTAAAAAACTTGTTACTGAGACAGTCACTAACACCCTCTTCCTGACAGTCAGTCATTTCTCCAATTCAGTTTCTTCCCCTTCTCTACAGCCAAGTGAGTAGAGCTGCATGCAGGCTGCAGATACTTACATTAAGCCGCACAGCCAGCTGGTTCATAGGTGGATACATACTCAGTGCCAGCTCATCAACACTAGAACAGAAGAGGGGAGCAACAGAAGAAAAAGTCCTGATAGCACAACTCATGGATCCTGGTCAAAGCTTACACCCACCCTCAATACATGTCAGGAACAGCACTGCATAACAAGGACACAGTGGCAGTCATAACCATGGGATACTTTTCATTGCCTTCTCAGACAAGTGCATGCCACTCTCACCTCAAGAAGGGGGTGACTGGCTGGGAAGCTGCCCATGGAAAAGGATTTGGGGTGCTAATTGACAGAGTTAAACATGATCCAGCTTCTGCCCAGGCAGCCAAGAATTCCAACAGCATCCTGGCCTGTATCAGAAATAGCATAGCCAGCAGGGCCAGGGAAGTAATAAACCCCCTGTACTGGGCACTGGTGGGGCCACACATTGAATCCTGCCCTCAGTTCTGGGCCACTCAATAAAAGAGAGACGTTGAGGTGCTGGAGCAGGTCCAGAGGAGAAGGGCAACAGGGCTGGTGAAGGACTGGAGGACAAGTACGATGAGGAATGGCTGAGGTACCTCAGGGAGATTAGTGTGGAAGGCTCAGGGGAGACTTACTGCTCTCTACAACTACCTGAAAGGAGAAGAGGTGGCTGGTTTCTTCTCCCAGGTAACAAGTGATAGGACAAAAGGAAACAGCCTCAAGCTGTGCCAGGGGATTTTTAAACTGGTATTAGGAGAAATTTCTTCACCAAAAGGGTGGTCAGGCATTGGAACAGGCTGCCCAGGACAGTAGTGGAATCACCACCCTTGGAAGTGTTCAAAAACCATGTGGATGAGGCCCTCAGTGACACTGGTTAATGGTGGCCTTGGGAGTCCCAGGGGAATAGTTGGACTTGATGGTCTTAAAGGTCTTTTCCAGCCTACTTGATTCTATGCTCCTCTCCCATCTTGCACAACTCTAAACAGCCGACACCTTAATAGTCTTCCCAGCACACCTGCTTCCACCACCATCTCACAGTTTCAGTATTATACAAGGTTTTCCTAATCTGTTGTCTACACCTCAAGGACAGGGACCGCTCTGGAGCAAAAGTGGCAAAAGGGATAGACCTGCTTACCTTGGACTGATCTCATTAGCAATGTCTGCAAGATCGTCCAGCTGAGCAATCTGGTCTGGAGAATCAGCTTTCCCATAAGCCTTCACTACACCCAAGACCTTCTTCAGGCAAGCTTTAGAAGCCTTCATTAATCCCATGCAGGAGCCAAGCAGCTTCCGGTCAGCTTCTGACCAATATGTATCTCTGTTACCTCGAAAGCCCAGCTCTTCATCTTCCATGATGTCACTGTATGGGTCTTGCCCTTCCACCAGGGCCTAAGAACACAGATGCACTGAAACCCCAGAGCCTAATAGCAATTCCACCAATACCCAGGCAATACCCAGGAGGAAAACATACTTTAGAAATCACACAACTAATTTATGGAGGAATCTCTCTCCGACCAGAACCTCAGTTACCAGATTCTGTTAATTTCTGTACTTAAGAAAAACTACTCCCCCAACCCAATTCAACACAGCAAACAGCAAGAATTTGGCAAGTAATGCCATTGTTACATCAACCTGCCCTGCTGTCTCAACATCCCCCTGCAATTCAGGACATAGCTTTATGGAAACCTTATATAAAGTAAAGCAGGCTTGAGTTTAAACACTCATTAAGATCCAGCTAGATCATAGAACCAATCTAAGTCATATCAGCACAAATTTAAACCAAAGTCTGTATATAAAACAATCCCTGTATTCCATCACTAAACCATCACTGCAATTCACCACTGAAGGTTCGTCAAAAGCTGAGGGGCTTCCTTACATGCTCCATCTCCTCCAGAGCATCCTTCACCACACCCAGACATGCAGCCAGAGTTGACGCAACTGCTGCCTGGTTATCTGCAAATGTAAAAGGATGAAAAGTACGGCACTACACCGATTCAAATCAGTTTGCAAAAACACTCATCTTGGTTTGCAATCATTAGACCTTGAGATTATGGGATCAAACTTTTTGCAGAGCTCAGAGCGGCGCTGCTGCAATGCAAAGCATCTGGCCTGGTTTCTAAGCATTTCAAACCCAGACAGGTTTTGCAGAATGAGTGACTCTTCACTGTAGTAGCCAGAATGTCCCTTGCAAGGGCTATTGATATTCCAAGACAACATGTCCTAGTTCTGTTGTTCTGCATATACAATCCTCACCTCGTGGAAGACTGGACACTTGTTCACATGCCTCCCACACACCACCAGTTGATACAAGCTGCTCCTGAGACAAGCTGAAATGAAACAAAGCCCCCCCAAGTTAAACTCAGTAACACTACTCTGCTAGACTATTTATTTTCTGCACCAAAGATGCACACTAGTAGAAACTCTGCTGGAAAGATGTCACCAACCAGCCTGTCACTAGTATTTCATGTCTGTGTAAAGCTAAAAGTGCTTGTTTCTCCTGAGTTTAATTATTCACTGGAAAAAGAAGCAGAAGCCTCTTACAAAGGCCTCTCAAGGTGCTTAGGCATGTATCTTTCAATATCTATGCAAACCAGAAGTCTGTATTAGACTGCTGACCTCTGCCTAAGGGCAGTGGCATGTAATGCATGGAGAGGAAGCAGTCTGTATCAGTCCAGTGACAAGCTTTATAAAGTGACAAAATCACTGCGTATGACAGTTCACTCCAAGGGCAAAAACTGCCAGAGTAAATGCTATGCAGCGCCTTCATTGTAAACCTCCTCTCAGAATCTTTTCTTGCCTCAGACAGAATGAAAATCTATTCTCCATGAAGACAAATGTACCTGACTCAGGTCACTGGAACAAGAGGACACTGTGAGGGCCCTGAAGTGCATTCCACCCTCCCAGGAGTTTAGTTGGCTATATACAAGGTAGAAGTCTCATACTCATATCAAATGGGTATGAGACTTCTCTTTGATTCTGACCTGGATCCTGACCAATGGATTTGACCTGCCTGCCTTCACCTCAGACCCAACTCATTGTAACAGATGTGCTGGGCAATCACTAGATGGTGTATGATGCTGTTTACTCCCTCTGGAGCTGACCCTGATCCTGACTTGCTGGCCTGACTTTCCAGCTTGACCTCACTGCTACGGGCTTGTCTTATCATCTGGACTCTCAACTGAACCTCACCAGCACTGCTCTGCTCACTCAGGCACAGGGGTACAGGGTCTTTGCTGATGAGGCCACTACCTCTTCCTGCTTCATAACAATGCTCTGCTTCTGCCTTCCCCCTTCCCTTAGGAAGCAGTCTGCACTTGCAGCTTCCTAACAAATATGCTTGTAATTTTCTCTCCTTTTTTCCCCCCTTGAAAATCACTACCTCTCCAATGGAGCACTGAGAATTGTTTCTGTGAGTTGGATCATTCCTTGCACTACTTCAGTGGTAGCATCTCGTACCATCTTCCGAAGAGTAGTACCTGGTGAAGATTGAGAAAGAGCAAGAAAGTTGCCACAAAGGCAGCACCAACAGAAAGCAACTGCTAAGATGGACACACAGACTGCTCAATCTGTGTGGATACACTGTATAAATGAAGTTATAAATTACTTTGGACAAGGATCTCAACACTTCATAAATATGAAAACTTTATAAGTACGAACACTCAGTCAACTATACAACTTCCAACACTGTCACTCTTTCACAGATGGAAATCTAAAGGAGTAGACAGAAAAGTGGTTCACTCAAACAAGTGCAAGTCTACAGCACAGCTGATAATGGGACTGCCTGCTCAAGAGAACCTGCTTTCCTGCTGATGCCAGATCTTACATTAGGCACTGAAATACTGGGTTTCTTTATACAGTGGCGAAAGAACCAGCATCCTATATATTGGTGCCTACCCAGCTGTCATTATCTCACCTTGGCCTTTGGGGAGCCAGTAGTACACTGTGGCAACTGCAAGAATGGCATTTTGGACGTCTTCACTCAGCTTCTGGCAATCCTGAAAATGGACAGGTAAAAGGTTAACTGTGAATAGTCCATGGCTGCACAGAATTTAGAAGGTCTCACAAGCAATCACATTCAGATACTTTGAGAAAAGGGAAGCACAGTAATAGCCACCTTGCTTGAGAAACAAATACAGCACAAGAAGAAGATACAGTAAGCAAGCTGTATACATCTTAAGTCACCTCATGATTTGGCAGCAAAACATGTCCTCATGTAGCAGTCATGCATTAAAGAGAAGTACCTTAGATCATTATTCTGAACTAGATGGCTTTCTTTTTTCTCATCCAAAAACAGGTGTTACAAATGTCTCTGAATTAACAGCAAAAATATAGAATGACAGACTAGTTTGTATTGGAAGGGACCTTAAAGCTCATCCAAGTCCAACCCCTGCCACAGGCAGGGACACCTTCCACTAGAGCAGGTTGCTCCAAGACCCTCTGTCAACCTGGCCTTGAACACTGCAAGGGATGGGGCAGCCACAGCTTCTCTGGGCACCCTGTGCCAGGGCCTCACCAACCTCACACCAATGACTTGTTCCTAACATCTCATCTCAATCTCCCCTCTGTCAGTTTAAAGACATCCCCCCTTTTCCTGTCCCTACAGGCCCTTGTAAACAGTCCCTCTCCAGCATTCTTGCAGGCCCCCTTTAGGTACTGGAAAGTTAAATCTAAGGTATGTACTGTCCAATATCCTGTATCTATCAGCAATCAGCTGTAGATATTAAAGAAAAGAATGTAAAATTACTTCTATTCAGTATGTCTTCCTATCTTACAGAAATTAGTTTTCTGGAGAATTCCTGAACTTCATTAATACACCCTACAGTGGATAGTCCACCCAGACATCCCTTTTTTGTGATGAACCAAGTGAGTTTGTTTAGTCAAATGAACTAAGAGATACCTGAAACTTGTCTCACACATACAGCTATTTCACTGTGAGGGCTTTCACTCACCTCAGCAGAAGTCAGTGGAGGCCTTGAGAATGCCAGACTCAGCTTTGTAGCTTCTTGTGATGTTACTTTGAATGTCTGACCTAGAAAGGATCCAGTGGGAACAACAGAATAGAAAGTAACTTGGGTAAAAGATGAAAGAACAGAGCAGCCAGATGAGCAACACCTCTGATGCTACTTTGCCCTGCTGCTTGATTGTAATTTCTTCCGTCCAAACAATACACAAAAAGAAAAATTCCACAGTACATTTGTGCCATGTTTATTCCATGTTTTTTTACTTAGTTGGTAGTGATATCCACAACCACATTTTGTGTCCTGGTCCACGATACCTTCACCAGGATGCTGTGAGGCTTCAACTGAGACCAAAGGTTTTCAAAAATATAGAATGACAGACTGCTTTGTGTTGGAAAGCACTGTAAAACTAATCTAGTTCCAATCCCCTGCCATGGGCAGGGACACCTTCCACTAGATCAGGTTGCTCTAATGCCCTTTGTAGCTTGTTTTGTACCAACTGTCTGATACTGGCCGCTGCTGTACCAACGCCAGCGCCTTGCAGTGGAGGGCAAGTGCCAAGGCCGTGGCCAGAAACATGCCGGGATCTCTCCCCCACGACAGACCCGCGCCTCGGCCCGCCCCGCGCCGGTCTTGACCCAGCCCAGCACCTTCTGCGCGGCCGACCGCCGGCCGGCTCCACTACCCGTACCTAGCGCGTCCCAGAAGAGCGGCAGTTCGAACGGCTCACGGCCCTCGCCCGGTTCGCCCTCTGAAACGGCAGAAAGAAACCTCAGTCAGCGAAGAGTCAGCTCGGCTCAGACCCCGCTCGGCCCCAAAACCCACCTCGGACCCGTGCCAGCACCGCCCGTAGCGCGCCACGCAGGACCAGCAGCGGCTCCCGACCCTCCATGGCTTCTAGAGGTGCCAGCGGATACACCCCGCCCCTTCCGGTCACCGACGCACTGTGCGTCAAGTCCGCTTCCGGGTAGCGGCAGACCGCTACATCGCCTCTTCCGGCGAGCGAGTTCCGTGCCCCGGCGGACGGGACCCTTCGCCTCCCAGCACGTTGTTAGCGGCGTCCCCGGCTCAAGAGAAGCAGGAGCGACGCCGGCAGCCGCTACAGCCAGCGCAGCTCCTCTGAGCAGGTTGTTGGTCGCCTAAGAGCATGGTGCGTGGGTCGCACCGTTCATCTCAGAGGCGAGGCTGTTAGTGCTGTCAAGATTGTCGTTTGTTCCGCCAATGACTGCTTACCTCTGGGCACTTGCTCTTCTCCATTGTCCATCCACAGCTCCCAGTCACATAGATATGCCCATTTTTGCACTTGAATCAGTGTCCAGGGGGACAGCCAACAGCAGTGACAATCTACACCTGCTCAGCTTCAGAGATCTATAATCCTGACACAGGCAAGGCAGCACAAAGCATAGCCAGGTCAGCCTTTGCAGTAGCCTCGTACTCCTCTGTGAACTTCTTTGTCCCTTCCAGGATCTCACAGGCACTGGCAATCTCTGCTGCAAGTGCTGGGTGTATAGTCACACTTTCCCTCTGCACCTTGCCAGGTCTCAGGCTGCAGGTCGGAGAGATCCTGTGCTGTAAAACTGAGCTGTGGCTCATCCAGCCACCCCTGGACTTCCTCCAGCTGCTTTCTCACCCCCTTCCTCTCACTTGCATCAATTCTGCTCACAGAATCGGTTAGGTCTGCTACACGCTTGTAGAAGTCTGGTACTCTTTGTAGAGGTTTTAGTTTATCCTGCAGCATGAGATACTTAAGAATTCCTATGCAGAACAGAATTCCCTTCAAGTGCAGCCTGCAGTCTTTACTAGACGCACTTTCCTGTGCTGGCCCTTGGCTAACCCCAACCCCAACCCCAACCCTAACCCTAACCCTAACCCTAATCCTAATCCTACTAGGGGGCTCGGCCCGGCCCAGGCACCCCCGGCGGGCAGCGCCCCTCGCCCGCCTCCGCTACCGGCCGCTGGGTGCAGGGGAAGCCGCAGGCGCTCCGCATCCCTCCCGCAGCCCCCAGGTTGTGTCCCGCGCGGCAGGAGGGGCAGCCACTGCCCCACCCACAAGCGAGGGTCCGGCCGCCATTGCGCATGCGCGGCATCCGGGGGGCGGGAAGAGGGGCGGGGCAGTGTGGTGTGGTGGTGGAGCCGCTGGCGGCGGCCATGCTGCAGAGCTTAGGCCTGGTGGGCACCATCGCAGAGGGGGACGTGGGGCCTCAGGACCCCGAGTCTGGCGACTCCGAGGATGAGGAGGTGGGGCCGGGAAATAGCTGTTGCCTGGGTCGAGGATGGGCCGGGCCGGATTGGATGGTGCGGGGCCCGGTTCGAATTGGATCGCGCTGGGTTGGCCCACGTTGCGTTGAGTCGAGTCGGGTCGGGTTGGGTCGGATCGGATCCGATCCGATCCGATCGCATCGCTCCGGGGCCGGGCCGGGGTCTGGGTCTGCGCGGTCCGGTTTGACCGTCCTGCGGACGTTGCTCACGGGTATTGTAACAGGATCTGCTCCGGGCGCCGAGTGCCAGGCGGCGCGGGCCCACAGGCGGGGACTTCAGCGCCGCTTTCGTCTTTGGTGAGACGGAGGCCGGTGGGGAAGGCGCCTGGGCGGAGACACTGCGCCACCTCCGCAGCAAGGTGAGGCCTGAGGCTGGGGCCACAGTGTCAAAGCACAGTGCCCCAGGCTTTCCCATGCATTTATTACAGCTCTTCTTTTGTGATTTTCTGCCTAGAGAGCAGCTACGACACTGGATGAGAAGATTGAGAAAGTGAGACAGAGAAGGAAGTTCCAGGTCAGAGCCTTTCTCTCTCATTGCTGAAGACTGGCATGGGTTTGGCCTCCTACTGCATTCCCTCCAGGGGCACAGGCTCTGACAGCATCCTGAGCTCATGACCTCAGCTTGTTTTGCAGCCACACCTGGTGGGAATGCAGAATTGTTAATGCCTAAAGTTATGCAAACCCATGGGCTGATAATAGCAACAAAATAAAGCTCACAAAGGATTGATGTTTCTTTTTGTCCTTTTATTTTTTAAAACTTTTTTTTTTTTAATCTCTTCTTAGGAAAGAGAGGCTGAACAAGCAAAAGTGAGCGATGAAGATGGGGAGACCGAGGATAATCAAATAAAAAAGAGGGAGTGTGAAGATTTCAGTAGGGATGAAGAAGATGTGGAGTCTCAATGTTTATTGGACGATGAAGCTATCTTCACAAAAGCAGGTATTAGCAGTACATAGGGAGATGGTTGAGGGGCAAGGATCTGACAGACTCCTGGCTCACTAGAGAAAAGTCTGCAGTGAAACTTTGCTGGGAGTGAGCAAGAACTTGTTGTCTTCCTTCTGTGATACTGCTTCTGAGCAAAATGCTTTGTTTGAGCATTTTACTCTGTTGCCTGCCTGTACTTGTTTCTGAGGCTTCTCCCTCAATAACTCATTCAGACAAAAAAAAAAGAGAGATTATGGTCATTGCCATATCTTGTTATGTGTTTAGCTGTGCTTGACAATTGCTATCATGTTTCTCTGCAGATACAGTCAAAGTGAAGGAACGGAGGAGATCAAAAAAGGGAGAAATAGTAAGTGTTAGACAGAGTGACACTAGGTCATTCTCCAGTGTTTCTTGTGGAGGAATTTGACTTTGGTTAACAAAGTGAACTCAAAAAAAACAGCCCAGAGCCCATTGGTAATATGTTGTGGTGGTCATGTTGCTGTTTCTAGGAAGCAGGGAGCTTTTTTGAAGATGCGTCTCAATATGATGATAACTTGTCATTCCAGGACATGAATCTTTCACGACCTTTGCTGAAGGTATTTACCTAGTTTAGTTATTACATGTTACTCTGAAAAATGTTCCTACGTGAGGTGCTCCAGTCCCTTCATAATGTTTGTGTCTTTTTGCTGGACTCTTTCCAGTATGTCCATGTCTCTTGTACTGATAAGCCCAGCACTGGGCACAGTATTCCAGGTGTGATTATACTAGAGGCAGAGTTTAATTGCTCTGTGTCCTTTGTAGGCAATCACAGTTCTTGGCTTCAAGCAACCAACTCCAATTCAGAAGGCTTGTATCCCAGTGGCTCTTCTGGGGAAGGATATTTGTGCCTGTGCTGCCACTGGGACAGGTAGGGGGTTGAGCAGGGCACAGGAAACATCAAAAGTTAGATATTCACAATAATTGGTAATTCTTACTCTTCTTATTTAGGTAAAACAGCTGCCTTCATCTTGCCTGTCCTGGAACGCCTGATTTATAAGCCTCGCCAGGCTCCAGTAACAAGGGTTTTGGTTCTTGTGCCAACACGAGAACTGGGCATTCAGGTGCACTCTGTCACAAAACAGCTGGCACAGTTCAGCAGCGTCACAACCTGCCTTGCTGTAGGTGAGTGAACTGTGCAGCTTACTGTAAACTGCTGCACTGTTGTGAAACTGGAGACTGTATGGTTATTGCAGGTATGCTTCTAGTGGGTGTACTGTGGTTTAAAATCTTATTTCTAATACTGTGCCACACTTCTTACTTGTTGGTTTCTGAGCAAGAAAAGGTGGTTTTAATCTGAATTGTTTCCCATTCCTCAGGCAATTTGCATCTGTGCATCCTGCTGCGGTAGTCAGTAGTCCATGTTCGCTCTCTTTCAGGTGGCCTAGATGTGAAGACTCAGGAAGCAGCTCTGCGCTCTGGGCCAGACATTCTTATCGCCACTCCTGGGCGACTGATTGATCATCTCCACAACTGCCCTTCTTTTCATCTGAGCAGTGTTGAGGTGCTGATTTTGGATGAAGCAGACAGGTAAGCTAAGCAGGTCAGCAGTGAAAAATGAGATGGTAGTTTCCTGCTTTCCATTTCCCAGGCTATAGGGCAGTCTTTGTTGCCCTGCTTTAAGTAATGTTTCTTAGCTAGAATCAAATGAAGCTGCCTTACATTGCTGTTTTTCTCCTGTGTAGGATGCTGGATGAATACTTTGAGGAACAGATGAAAGAGATAATCAGGTTGTGCTCCAACCATCGTCAGACAATGCTTTTCTCTGCCACAATGACAGAGGAGGTAAGATAGGCTGCTGAGAGACTTACTGTGGCAGAAAGTCGAATACAGCTTTGTGTAATCTTTTACCAGAGATTATATGAACTTTTTTCTCTTAATCTGTTTTGGTAGGTGAACGATTTGGCTTCTGTTTCCCTGAAAAATCCCATTCGAATTTTTGTGAACAGCAACACAGATGTCGCCCCTTTCCTGCGGCAGGAATTTATCAGGATCAGACCCAACCGAGAGGGGGATCGTGAGGCCATTGTATCAGGTTAGTGATGAGCAAAGAAAAACTGGAATCAGCAGGTGACTGTGAAGCAGGCTCCTGAGAAGGCTTTCTTTCAGCTCTTCTGACTCGAACCTTCCCAGATCATGTGATGCTTTTCACCCAGACCAAGAAGCAAGCTCACCGTATGCACATCCTACTGGGGCTGATGGGTCTGCGGGTTGGTGAGCTTCATGGGAACCTCTCTCAGGCACAGCGTCTGGAAGCACTCAGGTATTAGCAGGCTTCATTGGCAGTCACGGGCAAAAGAGAAGTTAGGAGGTAGAATACTTGGGGCAGAAACGGATGGCTGTATTGCTAATGCATTTGCTGTCTCTGCTCAGGCGCTTTAAGGATGAGCAGATTGATATTTTGGTAGCTACAGATGTGGCTGCACGTGGACTTGATATCGAAGGTGTTAAAACAGTGAGTATTTGCAATGTTGAGCTTTTTAATAACTCCTTTAATGTTGTTTCCCTACTAACAGTTTTCCTGCTATAGGTAATCAATTTTACCATGCCAAACACCATTAAGCACTACGTTCATCGAGTGGGTCGGACAGCAAGAGCAGGCAGGGCTGGTCGTTCAGTTTCACTTGTGGGTGAGGAAGAGCGCAAGATGCTGAAGGATATTGTGAAGACTGCCAAAACAGCAGTGAAAGCCAGAATTCTCCCTCAAGGTACACACTTCACTGAGGTAAAAAGCAGGAGAGCAGTACACAGGGAATATTGTGGTACAGAGGGACACTGAGAGATGTACTGAAAAATACAATGGACTTACATGAGCTGTTTCTAATGTTCATGCTGTATTGTTCTTAGATGTCATACTAAAATTTCGAGAGAAGATTGAGAATCTAGAGAAAGATGTTTATGCAGTTCTGTGCTTGGAGCGTGAGGAACGTGAGATGCAGCAGTCAGAGGCCCAGGTAAGCTTTGTTTTAGGAATTACTTCTTTTTACCTTACTTTTTTTAGGATCTGGAGTAGGTGTAGTACATAAGGAGGCTGCCATAATGTACTTAACCTGCCTACTTTAGAAAAGAAAGATCTTTTTTATGAGCGCATTTTTTGCCTGAATTATCTCAGATCAATAAGGCAAAGAAGCAGCTGGAGACAGGAAAGCAAGAGACTGTGGGTGAGGGTTTGGAGCGGAGTTGGTTTCAGACCCGTGAGGAGAGGAAGAAAGAGAAATGTGAGTAATTGACACTGCTGCCATTTTAAATTCCATAGTTACAACTGGACTCTGCTTTGTACTTTAAGAGGTTCTTTATTCTATGTTTTTCTTTACTCCTCCAGTGGCTAAAGCCCTGCAGGAGTTTGACTTAGCATTACGAGGCAAAAAGAAAAGGAAGAAATTTATGCAAGACAGACAGAAAAAAGTCCAAATGACAGTGAGTATATTTATGGACAAGCAAGAACTTGGGTGGATTATCCTAGTTTTCCTTGGCAAAACCTCACATCACTGCAAACTTGCATTTTAACACCTTTCAGCCAGAGGAGAGGTCACAGTTTGAAATCTTGAAATCTCAAATGTATGCTGAGCGGCTGGCAAAAAGGAATCGCCGAGCAAAGCGAGCCAGAGCCTTGCCAGAAGAGGAGCCAGCAGCAGTACCAGCAGGTGGAGATTTTTGGTTTGCAGCTGACTTACTTTGTGTCACTTACTTTGTTACAAACAGGTAAACTGAATTAATTTGTTTAGAGGGAGACACTGACCTGTGAAAGAATGGCTACAGGTGCTGGCCAGGGTGCGTGGTTGCTTTTCCTGATGGTTAGGCTAACTATGTGGTCAAGGCTACTGAGCTCTAGTAAACAAGGTGATGCTGTGGCCATCTCTCTACAGTGAATGTTCTGACTATTGTCTCTGTCAGGCCCCAAAAGGAAGAAAAAAGTGTCTGTGTTTGATGAAGAGCTCACCAACACGAGCAGGAGAGCACTGCAGCAGTACCGAGCTGGGTAATGCCTTACAGTAATGGTCCACACTTTAGTAGATGAGAATTTTTTTCTTTGCATCTTTGGACTTTCTGAGGGATACTTCAAGGGATATTGGGGCAAAAGGCGGGCAGAGCAGAGAAGGGGGTGTCACCGTATGTACCTGTGCTATTGATGTACTTCAGTGTTTTTTATCTGGTCTCCCCCTCTCTCCTCTCTTAAAAAGCCCGTCATATGAAGATCGAAAACGCTTCGGTATGGCCCAGCATAGGAAAGGAGGAAACTTCAAATCCAGGTCCAGGTATAGCACCTTTTACTTGCTTATTCAAGACTTTTTTTTCCCCCTGCTTTCTCTTTCCTCTTTTTGTGATTGTTTAAACATCCTTGCTAAAGCGTTGGTTGGTTCTGCAGTCTTACTGTCCGTCTGATGCTAGGGCAATCAGGGATACTGCCTTAAAAGCCTAGAAATGTGCTGTTAATGTGGGAGAGCATTGCCTAGATAAGGAACAGCACTGAGCATTTTCTATCATTCAGAGTTAGGGTGATGGAATGTCATTTCAAGTATCTTCTCTTTCAGGTACAAAAGAAAGTAAGAACTGTTGGCCATTACCAAATGGGTAAATCAGACATGCTATTTTCATACTGCAAGGAGACAACTCCAGTAAAATTGATTATTTTTTATTAATGTTCTGGAATAGCTTTGGGATGTTTGTTAATACCTGTTTGAAGATCCTGTGTGAAAACATCTTCAGCAGACCATGCAATAAAGGATTTATTTTTTTTCCCCTAAACCATTTCCTCTGCTTATACAGTAGCTAGAGCAATTGAGAGCTGGGATGTGTTACGTCTTTCTAGCAAACTTCTAGGTCATGAAAGTCAAATTGTCTTTACAGCAAAGCCTGGAGCACATAGTGCTTTGTTCATGTACTTCTGTGGTCTCGATTAATTAATCTGGGTGAAAAGGATTTCTACAGTTAAGAGCCTATTTCTGAAACAATGGCTTCACGAAACTAAAACTCCAAGAGCCTGCTCTCAGAAGAAAGGAATATCTCCAAAAGGGGAGGAGGGGGCAGGCAGACAGCTCCCTCCTTACTGAAAAGGAAGCAGCTATAAAGTGAAGCCAACAACCACAATGCAGGCTGGTTTACATTATTGTATGTAGCTAACGATAGGTTTGTGGAGCCTGGCTTGCTTTTTTGACTAGAAACAATGCAGCTCCACCTGTAATGATCAAGCTTAACACAGAGCATCAGAGATCACCATTCCTAATTGTTCTGGGTTCAGCTGTAACAGTTATTTTTCTCCTTCTTCAAAGCTGGTGCAGTGCTGTGTTTTCAGCTTCAGCCTGAGAACAGTGCTGATACCAGACCAATGTTTTTAGCTGTTCCTAAGTAATGTTTACCCTGATCAGGAAGTGTCAGTCTTGTGCTCTGCCAGTGAGGAGGGGCACAAGAAGACGGGAGAAAACGAGACAAGACACCCGACCCAAAGTAGTCAAAGGGGTATTCCATACCACAGCATGTCATGCCCAGTATATAAACTGGGGGGGGGGGGGGGTGGTGTTACCTGGAAGGCCCAGATCACTGCTTGGGTCGGGCTGGGTAGTGGTAGGCAGGTAGTCAGCAGTTGCATTTTCTCCCCTTGTTATTTCCTTTCTCATTATTATTGGTGGTAGCAGTAGTGGTTTTACGTTATACCTTAGTTACTGGACTGTTCTTATCTCAACCCATGGGAGTTGAGTTCTTTCTGTTCTCCTCATCCCTCTGGGAGTGGGGGAAGAAGGCAGTGAGTGAGCAAGGGGCGTTGTGGTTCTGAGTTACTGGCTGGGCTTAAACCATGACACTAATACAGCCACCAGTGAGAATTCAGAACAGTGAAGTGTTAAAACTCTTTCTTTGAATTTTTATCATTTCCACCACCCCAACATTTCCCCCTCCATCAGCCTTAATAAACTTATATGGATATGTTGTAATTCCCATAAGAAACAGACTTAAGCAGCCCAGATCAACTGTTAACCTTTGAGCTGTCACTACAAACTGAGGTTTTTGCCTCAAACCCCCTCATCTTCTGGGATGACCAAAGCACAGCAGTGAATAATAACAGCTCCACTCCCGAAATATACCAGTGAAGTCCGGGATTTTTGAACTTTATTAAAAAAGGCAAACTTCACAAGCAGCAAATCTAAAATGTACATAGCAAGGTTCTGACAGGCAGTATTGCTCGGTACATTCCCTTAACTGGTCTTCCCACAGTTTTAAGGTATGTTATAGGGTAGCTTATGGCCTTGGTGGACGCATGCCAGGTGGAGGGGGTCCTGGGAATAAAGCAAAGAGTTGAGTAGTGAAAAGGAAAGCAGCAAAGCTAAACCAGAAACATTTTCTTCGCCATGCTCAAAGTGGCCTTAGGGACCCTTTTTTCTGTACTATTTACTGACAACTACCAGAGCTAGGGAGGCACTAGAACGTATCACCCTTCAGACATTTATGTTACAGCTGCTTCTAGCTTCTAGGCATTTAAGATAACCTCCACTCACCTCTCATTCCTGGGGGTGGTGGTCTCATGCCTGGTGGGGGCATTCCCATAGGAGCACCTCGGCCAGGTGGCATTCCCATTGGTGGGCCCATAGGTGGTCTCATACCAGGAGGAGGTCCCATCATTCCTTAAGCCAGAGAAAGAATAAGCATATAAACCCACCTGAATATTCAACGTACTAGTTGGATATCAGAAAAATCCTCCATAATACCAGCTCTTGAGCAGACTTGATATCAACATCTTTTTATCACCAGTTTTGCCACATAACACAAGCTCCTTTCTGCCCCACTCCATAGAGCGATTCTTAACCTGGAGGAGGTGCTCCTCTGCTCATGGGTGGGGGAGGACCTCCACGCCCTGGTGTGTATTGAGTTGGTGCTCCTGCTATGCTCGCAGTGGCTGCAGCAGCAGCAGCTGCGACTGTTCCACGACCCTGAGGTGTCATCACCTGCAAACAAGACAAGAGGTTCACAAAGAAACAGCACAACATCTGCTTTATATTAATACATAAAAAATACACAAAATTCATTATTATCCCTTTATAAATTATGCTACTCCCCTTTTAATGTACTGCATAATGCTAAAACCCTGTAATACAGTTCAAGGGATAATACTTGAATTTCATGCGAGAAGCTACACTTTTCAAGCCTCGTCTTCCGTCATACAAAACAGAGTTCCTAGGGGGATCTAGTACCAAAAAAGCCTTCCCAGGTTCAAACTCCCTGGTAACAGAAACTAAGGAACAGTTCCTCCACCAATTTCCTGCATCATATTTGGTACAAAGAATTAAAAGCCACCCCAGAATATGCGAAACAACAATTTTAATGGGTCATAGCACTTCACCTGTTGAGATGGTCCTCCCACTCCTCTGACAGGGCCAGCTAATCCTGCTGGAGCCTGTGGCATGGGTGCACCAGCTGGTACTCCCCTGCCTGCTGCTCTCCCAACTCCTGGTCCTCCAGCGGCTCCAGCAAGAGGTACTCGGGCAATTCCAGTCTGAAAACAGACCCCCCCAAAAAATATTATTGACAAAGAAATCCTCAGATCCTAGAGATGCTCGCAGACTTCCTCTGTCCAATTAATGCCCTATCTCTTTGTGGGCTTGGGCATTAATTGGACAGCTTCCTACAGCCAAAATTTGTTGGACCTGGTCACAATAGCATCTAGAAGTGCAGGACAATGCTGTAGTAGCATCCTTCTGCAAGACAGCAAATTTATCAGACAACCCTTCCCTTTCTCCTTAGTTCTATGCTCATTCTCCTTACATCTTTCGGAGGTGGTCCTTCAACTGTCATGGACACTAGGTTTTCTCCTCGCAGCAACACAAGACCAAGGACTCGTTTCTCTTCCCGCTCCGGCTGCTTGGAATTTTTAGGTCTGGTAAGAAGAAAACATTGCAAGTCAGAGATAAAAAAACCAAACAAGACCCAAAGCTATTCTTTGAATTTGCAATGGAATATACAAGTAGGCTACTGCCGAGAGCAGAACCTACTGTAAACCCATTTCTGTATGCCTTAAGCTAAGTACATAGTCGAGTCTGAACACAAGACACACATTATCTCCGTGATTGTTTTCCCCATGATGCTCAACTGTTAAGTGACTGTTGGCATGATGTAAAGGTATAATTCGGTTATTAAGAAATAACTCAAAGTGCCCCTTTAGCCTCGGTGGTTTGGGGATTTGACAAACGAGGCTAAAACCACGACTGCAGGTGCACAAGCGGGCAGCAGACCCTGGCCCGCTGCTGGCCCGCTCGCCGCACGCAGCCGGTACCGGGAGGCAGCGCCCGGGAATCCCAGTGCGAGCCGCGCCGCTCACTTGATCTTGCGGAATTCGTCGCAGTCGCAGAGGATGAGGTTCATGTGCTTGTCGAAGGCCTTGAAGGTGCCGATGAAGACGCGCCCATCCTGCAGGATGCACCGCATGCGGTAGTCGATGTGCTGCAGCATCTTGCTGCTCTTCCCCACCGTCTGCAAGACACCGCGGTTACACCGGGAGCCGGCGCTGCGCGGCGCGCGCCGCCCGCCAGCATGCAGCTCACCATGGCTGCGGCTCCCGCGCTCCCGCCGCCGATCCCGCCCGAAGTGCCGCCCGCTCCGCCGGAAGCTCCTGCTCGCAGCGCCTGCCGCTTCCGCCCGCTCTCACGCGGCAGCACGCCAGCCCCTTCCGGCGCGTGTCTGACGTACTTCCGGGGGCGGAACTGGTCCGAGGGGCAACCTGCTGGCGGGGTGGGGGAGGGCTACGCCGCGGCCCTGGTCTCGCTCAGCCCGGTGCTGTGCGCGGCCGCGCCATCACTCCGGTGCTCGCTGCCAGCTCCGTGAGCCGTGGTCGGCAGAGCGGCAGGAACGCTGCGCTGCATGAGCCGGTGGAGATCAGGTCCTGGGCAGTCGCGGCCAGTCCCCGAGGGGGGGCACCGTTGGCATAGGGAACTGACGTGAGCTCTCCCGCGGCGGCCCCGAAGCAGCGGCGGGGTGCGGGTGCCAGGGAGGCTAGGTTAACGTAATTCATTCGGGCTGCCGGAGGGGGAAAAACGTCTGCCCGCGGGGCGACTCACGGCAGCTCCGTCCTGCGTCGCGCTGGGGCGGGGCCTTCCGCCCGCGGTTTCCATGGCAGCGGGCGCGTGACGCGCGTGTCGCTGCCAATCGGTGGCGAGGCGGCTGAGTGACAGCCTGCTGCACCAGTGGCGCCTTGGGGGGGGGCTGCCGAAGCTGCCGGGCGGCCGGACGCGGAGCGGCCGCGGCGGCGCCGGGTGAGCGCAGAGCGGTAGGAGGCGGCGGGGAGCCCGGAGCCCAGCGGGAGCCGGGCAGCACACCGCTACCCGCCATCTGGTGGGTCCAGGCGCCGGTGCTGCTTTCCCGGGCCCACTGCTGCGCCGCGCCCGCGGTCCTTCCTCTGGTGGCCTGTCTTGCCGGGAGGGCCTGGCCTAGGGTCGTCTTCCGCGAGGTCGCCGGTCCCGTGTTGCGCCCGTCTCCGCCTCCCCAGTTGCCGCCGTGCTGCGGCTGCTGGAGCCGCGGCGCACTCAGTGTGCGGGGCCCGCTGCGGAGACCGGGGAGGGGCCGCGGTCGGGCCGCGCAGGGTGCGGTTCGTGGCTGCTCGGGAGGCGAGCAGACAGCGCTTCCTCAGGAAAGCAGTCGTTTAGCGCTTTAAATTGAGTTTTGGTCTAAGGCTGCTTTCAGCTTGCCTCACTAATAATGAAAGAGCGGTTCTCTCTGTTTGCCTGTTGCTCACTTTCTGTCTCTGCCTAGCTGCGGTGAAATGTGCAAGGTGAGAATCCGGTATCATAGGCCTGGTGTTTTATAGCCGAAGTGCAACCGTGGAAGGCCTTTGGAGGACCATAAGATTCCAGAGACAGAAAATGTGACCGCCTGGTTCTTTTGTTTGTCTAGTAAAGTATGTTTCTCTTTGCTTGCTTTATGAGGTAGCATAGAAAGCTGTATGTAATCCTCGGGTTGGACTGCAGTCTGCTGCCCTCTGATGCTGCTCAGTCAAGGAAGCTGTCTTTGCACGTTTACCCAGTTAGTGTCTCTGCTGCATCTGTTCCAGCTATTGTTTGGCTTTTGGAGAGCTGATCAGGATGTTTTGTCACATCTGCAGGTTTCAGAAGCTGCAGCTATTTGCTTAACTGTGGGATTCTACCAGGCAGCTTTTCTTTTTCACAGAACATTCTTTCATCCTCATTTTCATTCTGTGTGCAGCACACTTTGTTCTCTATCTGTAATGAAAAGACGATTGAGTTTGTGACTAAGGAAATTTTAAGTACTCTAGTTGCCTTAGCTTGCAGCTTCTCAGAAGTCTCTTGAATGGTGTGTTAGTAGTGGCTCTGCTGTAAGTCTTGCAGCTTACCCCCACACCACTGCTTTGTTTGAAGGAACTTACTCTATAGAAACAGAGTAAATTAATCTTTGATGTATTTCAGCTTGGCTGCTCTTTCCCTGTATAAAACTGTGAGAATTGCTTATGTGCTGTTGTTCAGAAGAATGTGCTGAGCGACTCGTAAGCGAATGATAATCCCGATGATGCAAACTGGCAGCCTGTGCTCCTCCCCAAGAGCTTTCCAACAGTTATTTTATCAGATACGCCACTGGTGCACTGCAGAATATCATTGTAAAATTCAACATCTGTCACCTCTCTTGTCTGCAGCCATACAAAAATCTTTTCAAAAAACACTTTTGACAGACAACCTTGTGTTAACATGCTGACTTGAAGTACTCTGTGTATTTTTCCTCTTCTGGAAAGCTGCTTCAAAGGTTTTTTTTGACTCAAGAGTGTCTGATGAGTAGGTGCTTACTTATGGAGGAAATTTTAGGCAGAAATAGTCTAACTTATCATGATGAGTTACTTTCTGAGTTTGCATGCAGCTGAAAGCTTTTTTTGAGATCTAAAGGTAATGAATTACAGTACAGTTGGTTTTCAGTGGTGAGTGTATAAGGAAGCTGCACGTAGAGTGCATTGCCTCTAGGAGCTGTGAGCTAGCCTCTGCAGTACTTTTTTTTGATGAAACAGGGGACTTTGTTTATATGGTGCTTAGGGACGTGGTTTAGTGGTGGACTTGGCAGTGTTATTTTTTACAGTTGGACTTGATCTTAAGAGTCTTTTCCAACCTAAATGATTCTATGATTTCTGCAGAATTTTCCATAGTATCAATGTTTTAATGTGCACTTCTCTTCCTGAGTGATGCGTGTTCTTTACAAGGAAGATGACACGTTAGGTATTTGTAAAAGCTTTTATCTATAGTAGTCTGGACATCTTTGTTTTGGCATGTGAAGTACTTTTCCTTGTACTCCTCACAAAAAACTTACGTTGCAAGTTGCTGCACAAATAAAAGACTGTGACCCTACTGCTGGAGGCTGAAAGGAAAAGTGGTAATTAGATGCTAATTATGGATATTTTAATGAAGAATTGCAGATTCGGTTGTTTGTACTCAAGGAAGCAGTCTTTGAGCCGTGTCTCTTCGCTGTGTATTTGCTGGAGCACCCCCAGTATGAAGACAGGCTGAGAAAGTGGGGGCTGTTCAGCCTGGAGAAGAGGAGGCTGCGTGGAGACCTCAGAGCAGCCTTCCAGTATCTGAAGGGGGCCTATAGGGATGCTGGGGAGGGACTCTTCATTAGGGACTGTAGTGATAGGACAAGGGGTAATGGGTTCAAACTTAAACAGGGGAAGTTTAGATTGGATATAAGGAGGAAATTCTTTCCTGTTAGGGTGGTGAGGCACTGGAATGGGTTGCCCAGGGAAGCTGTGAATGCTCCATCCGTGGCGGTGTTCAGGGCCAGGTTGGACAGAGCCTTGGGTGGCACGGTTTAGTGGGAGGTGTCCCTGCCCATGGCAGAGGGGTTGGGACTGGATGATCTTAAGGTCCTTTCCAACCCTAACTATTCTATGATTCTGTGCCTTGAACACTGAACGGATTTAGATGGTTTTTAGCTGCGAGTTGGTTTACTCATGGGAGAAGTAATTATCTGTTCAGTTATTGCAAGCCAGTCTGATTATTGGAGTTGACATGTGCTTATGTCATATGACTAAGAGTTCTTAGGCTTTCAGATTTTGGCCATCACAGGCTTTAGTTGCTGAATGGAGAACAGTGAGTGGAAATCAAATACCACTTGGGAACTGTTTGTCTGTTTCTAGACTATATGTAGAATGTAAACCTACATATCCTATAGTTCTGAGGTTGTGCAAAGTGACTACTTTGGGGAGTTTGTACAGAGCCGTCCTGCTGCTTGTATGCTAGTAATTACCATAGTGACTTAAAGATTTAGAGATAAATTATGCCTGTTTTGAGCTACTGCTGCAAGATATTTGAAAGTCTAAATCATTTTTTTTTTCTTTCTTTTGCATGTGTGATTCAAGAAGTGTGGCAAACCAATTCATAGTTTTGTTAGGTTCATCTGCCTCTTTGTGAGACAGAAGGATTGGGTGTGTTCCAAATTAGGGCAATGCTACAGAGTACAGCTTTCTAGGTTCCTGTCTGTATGCAGAAGCCTTAGTGCATTGTGCTGCTTAGGCAGTGAGATAGTGCTATTCTGGTCCTGGGCTCCTTATGCTTTATTGCCTGAATTCCTAGATTACTTTGAACAAGAAGATAATTTGGTTCAGGGTAAGTGTAGAAGAAAGGACTAGAGCCCAATTTACTGATTGTAAAGGGTATGAAAATAGCACCAGCAGCTGCATGTGCCTTCAGGGTTAGAGGCCTCTTGAGGACATACTTTGCTGCAAGTTATCAGGTCTCTCCTAGCAAAGAGTAAGTTGTATGTTTCTGTATTGGAGTAAGAGAATAGAGCATTGACAATCAAAATTTGTGAAGAAAGGGCATGTTAGCCCATGCTTATGGGATTTGGGGACTGTGTTTCCATAGGCCAGCATACACTCTGTGCTGTCTGTTTGTGACTTAGCTCTGTTGGCTGTGAAGACTTTGAAACACTAATTTAATTGACCTGTCATATGAGCAGTCTTCCCTTGTGTAATCTTTGCTTGTCCAAACAGGGTTTTTTTTACCTGATGCACCTTTTCCGAAGGACAGGCTTTCCTGTTTGTTGTCAACATTAGTGATAAAATTTTTGTCCAGAGTGAATCTTGGGGTGGGATAAGGCTTGGTTTTCTTTCCTGCAGGATTAGGAAGTAAAATATCAGGTGTTGCATATAAAACTCCCTGACTCTAACTTGCAGTTTTGTGTGATGGGAGTTATACAAATGCTTTTGTATTATCACCCCCAAGACCTTCTCAACCTGATTAAGGCACTGAGTCTGTTGCTATTCTGAGGCCAGATCTTCATTGCGAACCTAACTTGACTGGGACTTTTCCATGTGATGTGCTTAGTCTTACAGTCATTTTATGGGTTTTAAGAAAACAAGCTGCTCTTGGGATTGATGCTAAAAATGAGAGAAGGCCAGAGGAATACTGACTGTAGCCAGCTCTTGAGGTAAGCTGTGCATTTTCAAAATATCATGGAATTCCGAATCTGGCCTGCCAGATACTGTCTGAGGGGTGGAATGGTAGAGTGGACAAAGTGTGGAGGAGGATGGTGTTGCTATGCGTATGCAATATCAGAATCACTTCTGAATTGGCTGAAGCCCCAGATGGCTTTGGAGTTCAGGCTTTCTGGATTCCTGCAGGAACTGCAAAGACCATACACATGCTGAGAATAAATTGATCAAGGCAGCTTCAGAAGGGCTTCTCATGATAAACAGTGCTTGGTTTAATAGAGGAATGGCTGATTTTCCTCTGCAGCAAGTACCTTCATTGTAAGTATGTCTGATCTGGTGGAGACTTGGTAGCTGCAGTGATAACATTGAGCATTTCCAGGAGCTGCTATTGAAAGAAATGCTAAACTTGCATCCTGCATCCTCAGTTTCAGCAGGCAGTAGCGATAGCTCAGAAGCCTGCACCAGGCGATCATAGTACTCTGTTAGTGTAGGTGAGGAAGCTGCCTAAACTGGAGTGAGAAGACAGTCACAGCGGTCTGTGAGTTTATAAAGAGGCCTGTGTATGTACAAATGCAGGGAAACATCAGTGCATCTGAGTTTCATGTCTTTCCATGCAGCGATACCAGTCTCTGTGAGGGAACGAAGTGGCATATGAGCTACATTAATTGAGATCATCAGTATTTCTAGGTCAACATTGTATCCTGACCAGGCATACCCAGCTTTTGTGGTAGACTCAACTTATTTTATAGAAGTTTCATTTTCAAGGACAGTCATGTAGTTCAGTTTCCTGGGCCAGGTATCTCTGCAGCTGCTTGGCCTTTCCTGATCCGTAGGAAGTCCTCAGGGAGGGTGGTCTGTCTCCCATGTGACTTTCTCTCTGGTGCTGTGGGAGAGAGCAGGGCTACTCACTCTACCCAAGAGAGGATTAAAAAGGAACTGAACAAGTACGTTTCTTTACAGCCTCTTACTACCAGATGAAGCACAAACCACCATGTCTGACAACTGTCTGGGACCAAACCCTGAACACAAGCTTATGTTCTAAGGCAGATAAAGGAGTGGAAGGTAGACCTTCAGAGCAAATGCTGAGTTAACTTTTCTTCTGCGATGGATATTCATGTTTTGGATTTATGATGTTATAGGAAGGGACTTGGGATAAAGCTAGGTGCTGCTACTCTGCCTAGGAGCCTGTTTGGGTATCCTGAGTGGATTAAGGTACCTCAGAAATATGGGGCATCAGTAACAACCAGCCCATGGGAGGGAGGCTGCCTGGCCTGCATGTTTCCTCTCTCACGCACAGACAGTAGCTGAGTCAAAGGAGCTGTTGTTTTACTACTCCTGTAAACTGACCTGGCAGTACAGACAATGGGTAGCAGATGGGGCTTTGCTGGTCAGAGCGACTCTCCTTTCTGTGTGAGTACCCCAGCAAGCTCTCAGAAGTATTCCTTCTATTGGGAATAATTGAATATTGGGTATTCAATTTCACTATGTGCTGTTTTAGTGTGAGGCCTTGATCTCTGGTACAATGCAATGTAACAATTGAGATAGTTTTCAGAGCTGCTCACTATCCTTTCTCTTAGCAGGTGTGGGTTGTATGCTGTTGTAAAGGCATCTGGAGCAATGCCACCGCCCTCGGACATTGTGAAAGTAGCTGTTGAGTGGCCAGGTGCCAATGCCCAGCTGCTGGAAATAGATCAGGTGAGACCTGGTAACCAGGTGGAGGAGAAAATGCCACAACCGTGATACTGGAATGTGGGAAGCATAGAAATGGGCAGTATTTCTTTCTACTTGAGAACTAGGATACTGAGGACTCTCTCTTTCTGTTCTAGAAAAGGCCTCTTGCATCCATCATCAAGGAGGTTTGTGATGGGTGAGTAGCTCTCTGGGAACCCTTTTGGAGAAAGCCTGCTGCCGTGACAAATCTTGCTGGGGTAATGCGGAAAATCTCTGTGGCTTGTCAGTTTGCTGCTGGCACGATCCATGCTGCCTGCTATTGGGTTTTGGCTATGGAATGGGCCAGGGTTTAAATTGAGAAGGATCTCCTGGAAAACAGGGGCTTTGCATCTTTATTTCAATTCTGAGTGTGTGCATATGTATGCCCCTCAGGTCCTTGTCTCTGAAGATGGGCCCATCTTGCTGTTTATGAAGTGCAGGCCTCGTCAGCAATTTTACAGATCTTAACTTAGAGCAGGCTGAAGTCCCATTTCCCTCTCAAGAGAAAATTGCTTTCTGCTCTTTGGGAGACCTAATTTCCCATGCTAAAGCTTTGCTCAAAGGTTCCTTTCAGCCCTTCTGGGGTTAAGCTCCTCTTCCTAATTGAGAATAAGAAGAAAGAGGAGGAAGTTTACGTATCCTTCTTCTTCCTCTGCCAGGTGGTCATTGCCAAACCCTGAATACTACACCCTGCGGTATGCTGATGGTCCTCAGCTGTACATCACAGAGCAGGTCAGTGTGAGAGGTAGCAATTTGCTGATGTCCTGGGCAAGAGTGCAGAATGCCTTGAACCAGTGTCATGGAACAATATTGTCACTAATCCTTGAGGAGCAGCATCTCTTCTATCAAAAAAACCTCTGACTTGAATGGTGTCATTCATCTGAGGAGCCTTGCACTTCTCCCTCTGCATGCCCATAGGTGCAAGGACCCAGTGACTCAATGCCCTCAGTAGGGTTGTGTGGTACAGGAACCCCTATGTGCACTGTAGATCCAGTTGCATTATTTTCTCTGCACTTTCCAGTGGTTTGAAGTTTTATGTTTCCTTTCAGACTCGCTGTGACATCAAGAATGGAACTATCCTACAGCTGGCAGTCTCCCCGGTAAATGCTTCCTCCTATCCCTTTTTCTCAGTAGCTATCCTCATATGACAGGCTGTTTCTTGCCTCTGCTTTTCTTTCTCTCTATATTGTACAGTGAGGTGCACACTCATTTTCCTTCCTGGTTGTGGTGTGTATCTTTCGTTTGGATGCTTTTCCCTTTGCCAGGACTTTTTATTGCATTTCCTAGACTAGTGTGTTATAAAGCACCTGGCAAACACATTCTCTGTATGGATGCAGTCACTATTATGAGTCGGAAAGTAGTAAATAGTACTGATGATTTAATGCAGAAGTTAAGAGACGAATTTGATGCAGAGTGGGTTGTTCGTTGTGAATTCTTGCTATTGTGACCTCAACAGCTGTCTTTTGCATGATTGCTGAAGCTTCCTTTTTACTGAAATTCTTAAACCTTTTTTTGTGCAAGTGTCATAGCATATAGCTGAGAGTGAATAGAAAGGGAGAAGTTATTTGTGCAAGAGGTGGTTGAGAGAATATCATTGACAAAATTTTACAGAATATTGTGTGCATATACCAGATGAGCTTGTGCTTCTCTTTGAATGTCTGAGAGAGATTTTATTTTTTTTTTAACATTGTATTTCTTTAATGGCCTCACTCTGTGTTCCTATATCCACCTCCACTCACCTCACCAAGAAGAAAAGCAAGCATTTACTCTAACATGTAAAATAGCATTTTACTCACCTTCTGCTGGCTATAACTGTTGCCGAGTGCAACTTTTTTAAGTCCGTCTTAGACTTGCTTACTGCTGCTACTTATCCTGTGGTTGCTGGTATTTCTCTGCCCTTGCTGTGCTCCCTCTGCCCGTTCATGGATTCCTGATGGAAAGCTGTTGCTGGCAGAGCTCAGTCTGCAGGTGACTAGTCTGTTACTTGGCATGATTCCTCTTTCCTCCCAGTCTAGGGCAGCTCGCCAGCTGATGGACAGGATCCAGTCGCACAGTATGGAAGCCCGACTGGATGCCATGAAGGAACTGGCTAAACTTTCAGCTGATGTTACCTTTGCCACAGAGTTCATCAACATGGAAGGGATTACAGTGCTGACACGACTTGTGGAGAGCGGGACCAAGCTTCTGTCCCAGTAAGTTTCCTGTATTCCAGGATTCTGGAACAGAAACTCAAACAAGGAGCTGTATTACCATGACAATAAACAAACAAACAAAAACCCTGGAAAAAAAAGAACCCTCAAACACTGATCTGGAAGTTTCCCCAAGTATATTCATGCCGAACTTTGATGCACTTGGCTTTTCCACTGTATTTGTTCTGTTTCATTGAAAGCACTTTTAAAGTCATGATAATTTATTGTTGTAACATTTATAGGTCTTCTATTTCCTTATATATTAGCAACTAACATGTTTTCAGCATGTTTATCAGTCTTTCCCTCAGTCTTTTTTACCTTTCTGTCCTGTGGTTATGTATTAAATTTTCCACAATTCATGCTGTGCTTTCATTTTGTTTCAAGCCAGGTCCCAATGGTTACAGAATGACTCTGGTTTATTCTGGTGTTAAAACGTTTGTTTCTTGTGTGTGTGCACGTGGAGAGGTTTAATTTCTAAAGATTTTTGCATGTTTTATGGTAGAAACATACTCAAAACAAAGTATGATACTACAAAACACATTATCTTCATAAATACAAATACTTTATTGCTCCCCGAGTGCCAAACTGTCGCCTCTTTTATTAGGAGAAGTTGGCAAAATTTTTCACTTGTCCAGCTTATTCAGCTTGGACAGGCTTTCTGAAACCTTGCTACCAGATCTCTTGTAACCACATGCTTCATTTTCTCAGTTACAGTGAGATGCTGGCTTTCACCCTGACTGCCTTCTTGGAGCTCATGGACCATGGTATTGTCTCCTGGGATATGGTCTCAATCACCTTCATCAAACAGGTGAGTTAAAAGGGGGTAAGTGAATGCTATTTCTTTTCATGCTTTAATGTAGCTTCCATAAACTGCAAAATGACTGAGAAGCTGAGTACTCATTGAGAGCACAGTGCACCCAGCTTTCTGAGCCATGTCTTCCTTGGCGTGTTTTTCATATCACAGCATTTCCTGGATGGGCACCTGTTGACCTGCTGCTTTGTCTGGTTTTAGATTGCAGGTTATGTGAGTCAGCCTATGGTAGACGTCTCCATTCTCCAGCGATCCCTAGCCATTCTCGAAAGTATGGTGCTAAACAGTCAGACTCTGTATCAGAAGATAGCAGAAGAGATCACTGTGGGGCAGCTCATTTCTCATCTGCAAGTGTGAGTGTCCACCCAACAGTGGTGTGATTTAAATCAATTTTGTGAATATCTGTTAATTTGAAAATACATTGTTTTATTTATAACACTTGAAGATGCTATTTTTTAAGTATTACTGGTATGACATCTTGAACTTCAGGATTTCTAATGTATTGAAAAAAAAATTAAGATACTTATACAGAGTAAGTTGTTTTCGCAGATTAGGCCCTAACACAGGACACACTTGTGCAATTGTTCAAGCAAAATATCTTTGTTGAAGACATATGCATAAGTGCTCCTAGAACACAGAATGTTGCTGAAGAAAGTATCTATGCAGGAATATTGTAGAAAGTAAGGCTGGAGAGTGAGTCAGAAGTTGCTGGTGTGTATTTGGCAAGACTATCAGGAGTGTACAGTCTTTATTAGAGCATAGGTTCTGGAAAAACAAGTCCATGGAAAAGTCTGAAAGAGATGAGGTGGAAGAGGAAAAATTAATTTAAGTATTATTTTGCTGTGTCAGAAAGCAAGCAGTGTGGTGAAAATAGCAGCAAACCCTGAAAAGGAGGGTAGAAGAGGTTAAGTGACAGACTTCAGAGACCTACAACGCTTAGAAGCCCAAGGAAAACCTAAGATGATGCATGAACATTTGCATGTTTGAAGATTGACAGGTTGAGCAAACTGAAGAAGATTTGGAAGGAAGCAGTGGAAGAGGGAATATGGTTGTTATCCACATTTATGCCAGGGATAAATGCTAAAGTGGAAAAAATAGCTATTTAGGCTAAAAATTGTTTTAGCTTTAGATGTTTTATAAAAATTTAATTTTATAAATATAAATATTTTCTTAAAAGTTATACATACACACAAAAGTTATACATACACACAAATTCACTCAGGTCATGCGCTGGACTTGTGTTAATCAGAAGAGCTTGAACTTCTGCAGAAGTCTCCCAAGAGTGTATTGGGTCTGGCAGAGATATGGAGTTAGTTTACCCCATAGCAGCCCTCCTAGTGCTGTGCACTGTATTGGTAATTATAAAGGTGCTCATAACACACCAGCGTTCTGGCTGCTGCTGAGCAGTGCTCCCACAGCATCAAGACTCTCTCACCAGCATTCCCCCCTCAACAGTAGGCTGAGGTTGGGCAAGATCTTGGGAGGGGACAGAGCCAGGACAGCTGATCCAAACTGCCCAAGGGGATATCCCAAACCATATGATGTCTGTTCAGCAATAAAAGCTAAGAGAAGAGGGTAGGGAGGAGGCATTCATTGTCTTCTGAAGCAACCACTATGCATACTGAAGCCCTACTTCCTGGGAAATGGCTGGGCATTGCCTGTTAATGGGAAGTAGAGAATAAATCTTTTGTTTTCATTTTCTCTGCACATGGCCATTGCTTGTGCTTTATTAAACTGCCTTGATCTTAACCCACGAGGGATTTTCCATCTTATTTTCTCCCCTCCCTTCTTCTGCTGAGAGGAGTGCTGTGCTAGGGTGGCTTGGTGGGCACCTGGCATCCAGCTATACTGTTACCCTTTGTGAGTAATAGTATAGCAGAAAACAACTAGATTTAATACAGCATCAATACAAGGGTAGAAAACGGTATGATTGACATTTTGAAGGTTTTTGAAAATATCACAAGTGAAAACACATGCTGGGTGTGATTGAGGAAAAGACTAAGCACCCTTTTGCCTGAAGAAGCTCTTCAATGAAAATAAGGAAAAGATGTGAGTTAGGCCAGACTGTTGCAGTTGGAAGGCAATTCCATGAAGAGAAGCATATTTCCTCCTTAGTTTACTTTGCATTTGATGGCTTCCATTGACATAGGAGAGAAAAATTACTTGCTCTATGTATATTTCTAGCTGTGTATATATAACAGGCTGGCTGCAGTGTACCTAGGCTTTACAGAGGTAATTTCAGCATTGGAAAAAAACTGGTGGTGCTGAAGTCTGAGCTCTGCTGGGCTGCAGTCTGCCCTGTGTTCTGAATAATGGAGCTATCATGTCAGCAATTTCTGTCAGCTTTTGCAGGCTTTATGAAGAGTTGAATGGCATGAAAATAGGTTACCTGAATCTTCCTTGTCTGTTGAAATGCAAGGTAGCTGGAGTAAAAGTTCTTACAATGCAGGCAAAGCAACAAACTGTAATGTTTTATACTGTCTGTTCTCTTATGATCTTCCCATTTTTGTTTCTGCAGCTCAAACCAAGAGATTCAGACATATGCCATTGCCCTGATCAATGCCCTCTTCCTGAAGGCTCCTGAGGACAAGAGACAGGTTTGTTCTTGTGTTTTGACTTTAAACCTCAATAATACTTACTTGCCCACTTTTTATGCCTCAGGAATTGTACTCTCTGGGCAAGGCAGACTTCAGACCTTGCCAAGAACTTATGTAGCTGGTTTAGTTTGGCAACATAGGAGAAAAAGTACCATCCCATTAATAATGTGTTCCGGAGCAACACATTTTGTTTAGGAGGTCCTCAGAAAGGAATCTGAAAGGCCTTGAGAGACAGAAAGCCATCCTCTCTACAGCATTGAAGTTAATTGTGTATAGGAGAGGCGGGGCGTGAGTCCTTGGGGCTGTGTGTACTTCATAAACAAATACCCCATCTCCTCCCCTGTCCCCAGACAAGGGGCCTGTCTGAAACTGCAGGAGATATTCCTGCTGGTAGGTTTGAGAAATGAAACACCTGTCTTGCTCTGAGGAAACCCTGAGATCTTGGCTACATGCAGGATGTGCATATGTCTGTATTGTGTACCTTTGCTGTGTTAAGCCTTTCTTCTCTAGTGCCCTGTTTGTGCCTTATTTCTGGACTCCCAGCTAAATCCTGTCTGCTTTTCTTTGTGCCTCTCCTTTTTTTTTTTTTTTTTTTTTTTTTTTGCTTTCTGCCAGCAGGACAAGCTGCTTAACCCACTAGACCTGCCCATCACTGTAAGTAACTCAAGCCTGGGGGCTGGTCATGTGAAACTGCAGGCATGTTAGCTTTTCTCCAGTTACACCTCCTTGTATCTCAGACATGATGCATACAGGCTTCAGATAGCAGGTGAGCCTAGGGAGAAGGGCAGAAGGACTCCTGGGGATGCACTCATATTGTTAAGGGGAGAAGAATCAGTAGCAAGAGAAATCTGGAATATATTATTGTGCACACAAGATAATAAAGATGATCATAAAAGGAATTGGATACTACAAGACTGACCAGGTGAACCAATTGTAAAACTAGAACCAATTCTTTAGTAGTCTGGGTCTCCTTAAACTTACTACAGCCTGAGTTTATACCGCATATCTTGCTTGCATTAATGACAGTTTCATACCCAACTGCATCCTTCTAAAAGTAGAGCTGTTTGTCTCTAAAGAGCAGCCACAAAACTTCTGCCTGTGACTTTGCCCTTATGAGACTTGTACTGTAAGAATGTTTTTTGCCCTGTGCTGTCTCCAGAGGAAGAGAGAAGACTCAGGGTGATCTTATCAATATGTATAAATATCTGATGGAAGGGAATAAAGGAGAGGAAGCCTGACTGTTTTTAATAGTGACTGCTGACAGGACAAGAGGTGCAGCTTAAAACAGGAGATTCCACCTGAACACACACAAACAAAAAAATTAGGGTGATCAAACACTGGAACAGGGTACCCAGAAAGATTGTGGAGTGTCTATCAGGAGATACTACAACCTGACTGGCCATGTCCTGTGCAAACTGCTCTGTCTGATACCGCTTGAACCAGGGGACTTGGACTAGATGACCTCAAAACATCTCTTCCAACATAAATGATTCTGTGATGCCATCAGACAGCAAAGTGGCAGAACACAGAACCCTTAGCAGTGGCTGGGCTTTGTGTGTGCTCATGCTTCTTACTATGCTGCTTAGAATTGTCTTTGTCCTTACCACTCTTTATCTGCTTCAGTCACCTGTTATTCATCCCATGTACAAACTAATTCCTTCAGAGTAAGGATTATTTGTGTTGCATGCATGAACAAATCTTAAGAGCAGGCCTTGCTCTCAGTACTACATCTCTTGAATCATAGTAAAAAATGATGACTCAGAGGGCAGTGTGTTATCTGTGAAACCACTTCCTACTCCATCTACATGCTTCTTAGATATCTTCCACTCAAGCACTGATTCATTTTGGTTGTAACATGAGTGCTGCTGAACTTGCAGCTATTATGGCTTGGCTATCAGCCAGCATATCGCTTTCTTGTTTTAGGAGGTTTCTGTCTGGAGCAAAAGTGATAATAGGAGCTTGGAATGAAGTTAATACATTTTACCAGACTCCTTATAAAGCCTGTCAAGAACAGGGCTGATATGAGCAGTTGGAACAGTCTTGGATTGCTCAGAATGTACAGCTGATTGAGTGCAATTGTCTGCACATCTGGTTCCAGTTCTCAGTCTGCAGTGCATAGGAATGTGAAGAACTCTCTGGCAGTTCTTTTGGACTTCTTCCAGATGATATATTGCCAAGCAGATTTTTCTTACCCAAAGGTTTTGCTTATAACAGCAAACTTCTGATAATATTCCATCTTGCCATTAGCACTTGTGCCACTAGTTGTGCTGCTCCCTAAGTAGGTCTGGTGAGATCACTGGTGTTTTAAAAAGTGCATCTTCACAATTTACAAGGAAAGCTCAGGTTAGGTTTTTTGCAGGTGCTTGTGTAATTGGTCCCAGAACTGAAGAATTGCAGTAGGTGCTTGCAGTAGATATTTGCGTTTGCTGTTTGTCATCATGATGTCATGGTTGGGAAACCCTCTAATCTGGGGAAGGAAGCCATGCAGTAAAGAGGGAGACTGGAAGCTTCCCTTTAAGCATGAAAATTCTTTACCCTTAATTTTTGTAACTGAAATGCTTCTGCAAATTGTCTGTAAACTGATTTCTAACTACCTCTTTAGGAACTGAGACAAAGGAAGTGTGAATTTCAGAGGGAGAGTTTTTGAGAGAGAGGCAGCACAGGCCTTTCTATCTGGGTGTATACCTACATATCAAAAATTTTGACATGCTAATTGAAGGAACCTCTTACAGATGACAGATTCTTCTTGGCAACCTGCAGTATGCTCCCTGCTGCCATATCTCCTGATATTGAAGTATCCTTAGATACTTCAATAGTTCTTTAACTACGCTAGTGCCTTTCTCTCCATTGACAATGTTTTGTAGGGGAGCCATCCAGGACCTGTGCCATGGTAAAGATGACACTTGCATCCCAACTTGATGCTTGCTTTGTGGTGAGGTGCCATGCTAAAGTGACAGTCTGTAGTAAAAGCACTTTCTTGTGTGCCAGTGCTATCTCCAATTCATAGGCTTCCTTTCCCTCATTTCTGCAGAATGTGGGCTTTTTGTTTATGCTTCACTTATGTTACTTCATCTCTAAATTCCACAGGAAATGGCTAATGCATTTGCGCAGAAGCACCTGAGGTCTATAATACTGAATGTAAGTACATCTGGAATGACAGAGCACTTCCTAACGTTCTCTCTGTTGAGAGGTTTCACTTGTTCAGAGTGTAAATTCTGCTGCTCCCAGGGCACTTCCAGAAAAGTGATTCTTTCAAAGGTGAAATTGGAGCCACTTGTTCAAAAGGAGTTAATCAGATGCTTCTTTCTGCCATTACAGAGCATTATCATTATGCTTCTGATGGAATATAGATGTTAAAAATAGCTGAATCTTCATATACATAGATGTACATGCATCGTAGCATATGCTACAGCTAATAGTTCAGGTTTTATTTGTATTCTCTTAATTTCTACCCTATCCTTTATTTTGCAGCATGTGATCAGAGGAAACCGTCCAATTAAAACAGAAATGGCCCATCAGCTATATGTGCTGCAGGTTCTCACCTTTAATCTCCTGGAAGAGAGAATGATGACCAAGATGGATCCCAATGACCAGGTCACTGTTAAAGCTGAGTAAGATCTGATAGAATAGGAGGAGCAAGAGGCCTTATTCCTTAGCTCCTTGGCTCTATAGGTTTTGAAGTGGATGATGCAGAGTTTCAAAACCACCTCTCGCGTTGTAGTCCTTGAGATTAGGGTATGTAATGACTATCCTGCTGTATGCTATGGGACTTTGAGAGATGTAGGCAGTCACTGGAAGCCTTGTGTTGCTTGCTTGACCAGTGTGATGCCAGTTGTCAAACTAATTACTCCACCTTTATGGAGGGCACATCATTTTACCCATTCCCTTGCTGTGTACAAGGAAGGTGGGCATTTTTAAGGTGTCTCTTACTCAGTTCTTAGGTGGATTGTAGTCTTGAGTGTCATATGCCTTACCATTATCTGACTGCCTAGAAATGCTTTTAACTAAACTTGTGGCAGTTAAAGGAAAATGCAGACAAATATTTTGCATTACCAATATACTGAGACTTGCAATTTTGAAATGGGTTGCCTCTTGTTATGTAGTATTAATGGCCTTTGGCATCTCTCTGTAATCATTGTGTGAGCTCTGGACAGGGGGGAGACTACTGTGCATTATGTGAAAATACTGCCCTAATGATTGATCACGTTACTGTTTCCCTGCCTTCTCCTCCTTCAGGCACAGAGAGACATCATTTTTGAGTTGAGAAGAATTGCGTTTGACGCAGAGACTGACGGCAATACCATCCCTGGCAGTGGAACAGAAAAACGCAAAGCCATGTACACCAAGGACTACAAGATGCTGGGATTCACTGTATGCATCTAGAGAGAGTGCTGACCGTAAAGCATATGAATACAGTTTAAGTGATCTCTGTCAGAGTTGTGGGGAAATAAAGAACAGATACAGAAGTTTGCTTCACCATACCTCTGTATCTGAGTTTTAGAAATTCAGTTACACTCAGGCTCCCAGGGAAGATCATTATGAAGTTGCTGACTGGTTAAATGCCAGGGCTCATGAAGCACATTCTCTGGAGGCATTTACTTACCATACACGCCTATTCTATGAAGAACTGGAATCAGCCTCTCTTCTAGAAAGTTCGGGTAGTGTTGTCAGCAGGTATCCAAGGTTACCTCTTGGATATATGTGAGGAAATGTTTGATGGACTCATGATTGTAAAATTAATTCAGAAAAAGTTCTCATACAGTTTATTCGAGCTAATTTTTTGGGTTCTTTCTATACACTTTTTTTCACAGAATCACATCAATCCAGCCATGGATTTTACTCAGACTCCTCCAGGGATGCTGGCATTGGACAACATGCTCTACTTGGCCAAGTTTCATCAGGACACCTACATCAGGGTAGGTGAAGCCGCTGTTTTCTGCGGATAGCAACACCTCAGCAGCTCTTCTTATTGTGTGTTGTATCCTCTTTTAGATTGTTCTGGAGAATAGCAGTCGAGAAGATAAGCATGAATGTCCCTTTGGGCGCAGTGCCATTGAGCTTACCAGGATGCTTTGTGAGATCTTGCAAGTTGGGGAACTCCGTAAGTACCATTTATTACCTTGTCTTTCCAAGTTGCTGGGCTTATGCTTCTGGAAGTAAGTTACAGGCTGACCAATATTTACAAGCATTTGTACCTCAATCTCACTTTTGCTGTGTAAGGACAGAAGGAGCTTGGAGGTGCGGTGTCAGTGTCCTAGTGATAATACCAGTATCAAGGTAGAGTAAGACATTTTGTCATGTGCACTCAGGAAAAGAAATCCTGCTGGAGAAAAGTCAGAAACAACTGCAAGTAGTCATTTGGGGAGATGAGGAGACATGAGACAGAGGCTTGCATGGTGAAGCATGGGGGTAGTTGTCATTCCCAATATAGAATGTCTATGGGGAGGTGAAGCATTGAACTGTCTTAATCTCTTTGAGTTAGTACTGTTGTACACCAGCAGGATTCTGTCACTGTAGTGGACTTCAGTTACTCTTAGTAGCTCTTGTGCAATATGCTTATGTGGTTGTGGTTTCTGTTTCTTCCTGAAGCCAATGAAGGCCGGAATGACTATCATCCCATGTTTTTCACCCATGACCGTGCATTTGAGGAGCTGTTTGCCATCTGCATCCAGCTGTTGAACAAGACCTGGAAAGAAATGAGGGCAACAGCAGAAGATTTTAATAAGGTCAGAGTGGAGAAGAAGTATTTTTGTAGAATCTTTTGCAGAACACCACATGTTCACTCAGCCTATATACTTGATTAAAGAGTAGGGCACAGAAGGTATGACAGGGCATTGATGTGGGCTGTAAGGGAGAATGGTCCAATTTTTATTTGGTATGATTTGAGTTCAGTTGTTCCATGTGAGTTCTTTGCTGCCACTGAGCTGTGCCCTGGTCCTCTGCTGCCATTAAGCAGCAAGAATGCGACTTGCTTTTCTTCCTGCCCAACCTCTTTAGGTTATGCAGGTTGTGAGGGAACAGATCACACGGGCTCTCCCCTCTAAACCAAACTCTTTGGACCAGTTCAAGAGCAAACTGCGCAGTCTGAGCTATTCTGAGATTCTGCGACTACGCCAGTCTGAGAGAATGAGCCAAGACGACTTCCAGTCACCACCTATTGTGTAAGTGCCTAACAGAAAAGGTTGCCTTTTATGCTTGCTGTTATCTCCATTTTCTGACTACTCTTCCATATTTGATTGCCAGGGAGCTGAGGGAGAAAATCCAACCTGAGATCTTGGAGCTGATAAAGCAACAGCGCCTGAACAGGCTTTGTGAGGGAAGTAGCTTTCGCAAAATTGGAAATCGCAGAAGACAAGGTAAGGTGACAGCATCTACTGCATTCTTTTCATGTGAAGAACTCTAGGCAAACAAGATCTAATGGATTAATCTGGTGTGTTGCCAGAAAGAAAAGCTTCTTACTCAGGCTTTCTCTAACAGCCAGTAGTTTGGTATGGAACAGATGTGCATGTCTAAGAACACAGCCATCCCCGCATGAACAGGAAGCAGGGTAGAGGAATTAGGTGGGGTGACTGCAATGTAGTGGCTGTAAGACCTTATGTTAATGAACTTGCTTAGCTTACTCTACTTGATATGTGTTCCAGAAAGATTCTGGTATTGTCGCCTGGCTCTGAATCACAAGGTGCTACATTATGGAGATCTGGAAGATAATGCCCAGGGTGAAGTGACCTTTGAATCTCTACAGGAAAAAAGTAAGTTCCAGTTACTGTTCTGAGCACACTGTGCAATGTTCTGTGTGTTGCCATCTAGAGGCTGTTATGAAGTACCCTCCTAGCAATGAGAGAAAAGGAGCTGTGGCTGAAGCCCTGACAAAGATGGGATCAACTTCTGGTTCTCACAGAGATCCTTTGAGTCTTGAAATTGCTTTCTGTTTCTTATAACAGCCAATTGTAGGAATGTGGTAATATGTTTTGGAAAACTGCAGTAATGAGCTGCAAAACCAGGAACAATGCTCAGGTGCAAAGACAAAACAAAGTTCTCGTTAGGTTTTCTTGTTTGTGAGTTTTACTTTTTACTGTTAGTTCCAGTTGCAGATATCAAAGCCATTGTCACGGGGAAGGATTGTCCACACATGAAGGAGAAAAGTGCACTGAAACAGAACAAGGTAAGTGCTCCCTTTTTGCCTGTAATTGACATCTTATGCTGTAGAGTTGAAGACTGCGACAGCAAAGAACAGGAGCAAATGGTCTTCCACACTGCAGGTGTATTGTTTACAGACCCCATCTCATATCTGGGTCTTTTCCTAGTACTCATTTGTGATTGCTATAGGCTCTTTGAAGCTGCTCAGAATACTGATACAGGAAAGTGCACTGAGCTGCAGCAAGGCAGCTTCTCTGGTTGGGTTAACAGGCAGAAAGTGCTGTGATGTTTTGTTTTGTTTAGTCCATGAATGAAAGATTCTTTTCCATTTAGGAAGTGTTAGAATTGGCCTTTTCAATATTGTATGATCCTGATGAGACCTTGAACTTCATTGCACCTAATAAATACGAGGTAAGAAACATAATGGGGTAAACAGTAGAATATAAAGCAATTAACTTCAGAGATGAAGAAGGATCAGTTGCTTCTCATAAGCAGCTGATGTCTCCTGCCATCTTCACTCCTAGAAAATGTTGCTGATGCTCAGCATGAATCTTTTTTAGGTTTTTTGGTATTTTTTTAATACGAGAAATTCCTACACTCATTTCCCTGAGTCTGGGCTGCTGCTTTCTTTCCTCCTATGCAGTCAGTTGTTCCCTTTTCACTATTCTATAAGAGACTGTTGCCTAAAATAGCTTTGCTTTTTTTGTTGTTATGCTGCAATAAAAACTCAGCCCTCTCCTGGAGTCATGGGGTCAAGCTTACCTCTAGGCTTCCACCTTCCATTGAAAATAAATGTGGGCACTGTTTTGGGGTGGCTTTTCTCCTTCCCCCCCCCCCCCCCTTCCTCCCCAGATCGTGAACTCCCATGTTTGCTGTTTTGGAGCTGTATTAGGAGTATCTCTAATTGTTGTATGGATGGAAAGATTCAACATAACCTATCCTTTATGCCTGGAGTTGTGAGTTATCCTTTTTTCCTCATAGTACTGTATCTGGATTGATGGGCTCAATGCTCTCTTGGGCAAGGACATGTCTAGCGAGCTGACTAAAAGTGACCTGGACACGTTGCTGAGCATGGAAATGAAGCTAAGGCTCCTGGACCTGGAGAACATCCAGATACCCGAGGCGCCGCCACCCATCCCCAAGGAGCCGAGCAGCTACGACTTCGTGTACCACTACGGCTGAGGGCGCGGGGCCGCGCGGGGGCGTCGGGGCCGCGCGTTCCCTTTTGTATGTCACAATAACAACCGGTAGCGTCGTTCCCGCCGCCTCCGCCTCGTTCCGCGCTCGATCCCCCCCCGCGCACCCTCCTTCCGCCCGGCCCCGCCCCGCCCCGCGCACCCTCCTTCCCCCGCAGGCAGCCGCCGGCCTGGGCGGGCCGTTGCGGCGCCCCTGGTGCTGCTGCGCTACGGCTTCTCCATCGGCGTCACTTCCCACAAGTGGCTCATGAAGGTGTGGGGCAGCTCGGCGCGGGGCGGCGGCATGCGGACGGCGGCAGTGACAGCGCATGTCGGTCCCGCAGAGCTTTCCTTCCCCGCTACTTGCAACGCTGCTGCACCTCCTCCTCATCTTCGGTCTCGGCCTTCGCCCCCTCTCTGCCGCTCGGGCCGGCCGCGGGCCGCGCTCTCCTGGGCTGACTGCCTCAGCCGGGCCCCCGAAGGTACAGCCGGCGAGGGAGGGGCCGGGGCAGGGGCAGGGGAGCGAGAGCGGGGCGCTGAGCGGTTGCTCGAGGCCGCCCGCGCCGCCCTCTCAGGCCTCTTCCGAGCCGCGTTTCCTGTGGCTTTCGGGCCGGGTCCCTCCGTGATCGGCAGCAAGCGGGCACCTGCCGCGCCGCTGGGGCGGGCGGAGCGGGGCGTCCGTGCGTTTCTCGCCGGGTGCGGGGTAGGTGGAGGCGTTCCTTAAAGCTTTAGCTTCAGACGCGCAGTCTTTATCGGGCCTAACAAAAAGCTGGTTAGAACGTGGAGAGGCCTCACTAAATGTGTTTTTCTGAAGGCGCCACTGGCGCATGAGAACAATGAGAACCTTGTGCAACATCTCTGGAAATTGTTTCTGCAAGTTATTTTTTCCTCTTTAACATGGTATCAAGCCGTGCATTTATGTTATTTCAGGAGCTTTCTCTGGTTGGAACGTAGTCTTCATGATACAGAAGTTTTATCATATGTGACACACAGAACTGCTCTAGCTGAGGCTGAGGAGTGAAGCTCCTCAGAACACAGCTTAGCTACTTCATCAGTGCTTTGGCTGTGTACGATGTTGGTTCAGTGGCTGTCGTACTGCCTCGCACAGAACAGTATGTATCTAAGATCTTGGGCAAGGTTTGCAATACCTTAGGTATCATGCCCCATGGTTTTCTGAGAAATGCTTTCGCCACAGCTGTAGCAATGCTGCTTCTCAGTGTAGCACCCTGTAATCAGTAAAGCTGTTTCTTGTGGGAGAAAGCTTTTGTACCAGGGGGAATACACTGTAACAAGAGCTGCATGTGGATGCTGAGGACTGTTGCCAGACTTGCTTCTTTAGCCTCCTTGCAGTAGCCCCTCATACTAGTTCTCATGTCGTGATACATTCAGAACAGACGGTACAAATCCATGATGGTTTTCCCTCGCAGGGAGGGCAGGTGTTACTTCTGTGCTTCTGCAGGGTTTGTTCCGAGAGTGCAGTGCTGAGCCGAGCTCAAATTACAGGGCGGTAGTGTAAAGAGCTGAAGATCTCTGAGCTGTGTTGGTATTGAAGAGTAAACCTGAGGAAGATGTTTTGGGTTTTTCCCCCAAGTCTGTTCTCTATGTTTCTGGTCAAGTAGCAGGGGTTTGGTTGGTTGAATGGTTTTGGGTTTTGTTTGTTTGGGATTGTTTTGTTTTTGTGGTTTTAATGCAGCAGAAGACAGTTAACTTAAGGCGTTTTTTTCTTTGATTCCTTAGCTCTGACAATTTCCTTGGATATTGGGCTAACTGGAGCTCCCTATACATCACTGTCTCCCTGTGAGTACAAACACCATCATCTGGTGAGCTTTAGACAAGGGTCAGTTCCTTCAGATGAGTGTCTGGCTCAGTGGGGTCGGCATGCAGGGACAGTGACAGCTTGTTGGTAGCAATGTAGAAGAGGGTGATCTGTTTCCTAATAGTACTTTGCTGGGAAGGACTACATTGGAGGAGACTGATAGTGTTTCTTGGTCCTTACAGCTACACAATGACCAAATCCTCTGCCATTCTCTTCATCCTGTTTTTTTCACTGCTCTTCAAGCTGGAGGAAGTGGTAAGGGTCCCACACAGTGCCTTAGGGAGGAAGAAAGTCAGGCCTAGCAAAATAGGCAGTACATATACAAGTAACATATAAGTAGAGGACGAGTGCAGCTTTGTGGATGAATGTGGAAGAAAGTAGCTGTCTCTGTTCAGCTCCAGGAGTCTGTAGTGGCTTTGTGTTTGCTCTCATCCAGAGGGTAGCATTGCTGCTGGTGGTTCTGCTTATTGCTGGGGTGGTTCTTCATGTTCACCTACAAGTCCACACAGTTCAACACATGGGGGTTTGCGCTGGTGCTATGTGCCTCTTTCATTGGGGGTATTTGCTGGACTGTCATACAGATACTTATGCAAAAGGCTGAGTTTGATATGTGGGGTGTTAGGAAGTGTGGGGTGGTGCTGGTAACGGAGAGGGGATTAAGGAGATGGTAGCCCTTGCTGCAGAAACAAAACATCTTGTGTAAGGGGAAAGGATTATCTGTTGATGGGTAATGAAGATGGCTTGGCATCTGCAGCAGCACAGGCTGTGGGCATTAGGGATGGCACTAATAAAGGCTCTAGGCACTGTGTTATACCCTGACTTGTTGCTACCTGGTCTGTTATTCTTTCAGGGCTCCAGAAACCCATTGATACCATGTTTCACCTGCAGCTGCTCATGTTCCTGGGGCTCTTCCCACTCTTTGTGGTGTCTGAGGGTATGTGAGTTAACAGGAGAAAGCAGGGATAGCTTTGTAGAGTGGTTGGGGAGATTGCTTAGCAGTTCTTTAAGATTATTCATTTAGATAAGCGAACAGGTATGAACTTTACAAAGCCATTTGAGACCTGAAATTATAAGGAACTAGGTATGCCTTATGCTGGCAGAACATTAACGAGTGCATAGGAATAGTAGCCTCCCACGCTTGTGGAAAGTTGTGAAGAACTGCCTCCATATTATCATTGGAATGTGAACAGCTCCCCCTGTCTTGTTGTAAGGAGGGGGTGTAAGTCCTGGGAGTTGGGAAACATATGCTGCGACTCACTCTCTTGTTCCTAGGCCTGCCTTTGTCCATATTGGAGAAGCTCTTCCATTTCCATGAAGCAGAAATGCTGTTCTGTCTGGTAGGGAAGCTGTTCTTGGGTGGAATTCTTGCCTTTGGTCTAGGCTTTTCTGAGTTCCTCTTGGTTTCCAGAGCATCTAGTCTCACCCTTTCCATTGCTGGTGTTTTTAAGGTAAGGCATGGTTCCTATGCTAATGCTAGAAGGCAAGAACCCAGTTGTCCCTAATGGCCCTCACATGGTGGGAACTTCCTTGGAGCCTTAGAAATCATCTCCTGTTATTTTTGCTCTCCTTGCACAGGAGCTTGATGCTTTCTTTGCCTTGCAGTCTGCAGTGAAGTCCCCGATAGCAAGGGTTAGAGACTGGTGGCTATTCTATAAAAAATATCATTAAGGTCCAAAGTTTGGTGGTATCTGGGATAGACTAAAACATGTGGGCCTCGTGAGCAATGGATGGGGAGGGAGAAGGGGTAAGAAGATCTCTTGCATCAGATCTGGATATGAACAAGCCACTGGTTTTAGCTATGTCTTTAATCTAGTTTGGCACATCCTCCCCTCCTCTGAGGAATCCACATACATACTTTTGAGTTGAATGGTAACTTGTGAAATTTGTCTGATCTGGAAGTCATGGGATTCCCATGTCGCCAAGTTGTGCAGTCTGAGGACTGAAAATCCCACATCCCAGTTTAACAGGTAGTTCTGTTTCTAGAAACTGTTTTTAGAACTCTCTGCACATGGAAGAATGTGCTGATGGATATTAGCAGCCTAACATCATGATCTAGGCTTGAGCTGTAAAACATCTTGTGCATATCTCCTCAGGTCCTGCTCTACCACTTATCATGGTTTTTTTGTTTCCACAGGAAATCGGCATTTTTTTTTCCTTGCCACACGTTTGCTGGGAGACCACCTCAGTCTGTTGAACTGGCTGGGCTTTGCTGTGTGTTTGTCAGGAATCTCCCTTCGTGTCATTCTCAAAGCTGTGAATTCCAAAGGTAATTCTGTTTTAAATCCCATCCTATTTTTCTGTAGGCAGTCTAGCAGCTTCAGTAGGAGCCATATCTAGTTCCAGCTCCTTGACAGCACCAGGTTTGATGCATCCTCTGGTGAGTTTGTCACTAAATGGGCTGTCTGCATGCAGGTGACAAATCACTGAAGCTACACAAAGAGGCCATCTCTGACCCTGACCTGGAGCTGATGCTGCACCCCACTGAACATGGTGAGGAGGAGGAAGAGGATCTTGAAACCCCACAGCAACACTGACTGAACATGAAGCACAAAGCCGCCTGCTGTGTTCTTACCAAACCTGATTGACAGCGGCCTAGGAGGAAGGTACAAGAGTCTCTGCCTGTGACCACCCAAAAGAGCCAGGGCCTGATAAGATTGTCCTGCTGCTCTGCTACAGTGTGGATCTGTAGACACTGCACAAGAAACAGGCAAAATCCCTTTCACAGAGAGCGAACTTGGAAGGCGAGTCCTGATTCAGTGGAAGTAGAACAGTGCAGTGAGACTGGGAAAAAGCTATAGGAAGCTTATTGGGGAATCCCTGAAGGCTGTATATTGAGAGCATAGATCATGAGCTGTAGAACAAGCATGGACATGTCTGGACTGCAGGCTGAGTGGTTCAGGATGATTTGAGTGTTGCTTGAGCTTTGGGTTCAAAAGAGAAGGTAGATAGACCATCCCATACTTACTTTATGGTTCTGCTAAGTAGGACCTTCTATCTTGGTGGGAGCAGATGACTACGTATAAATCTGTAGACTTGTCCTAGTGAGAAGGAGCCTTTGTGCCTGGTGACCTCCATGTTTTGTATGCACAGTATGGAGAGAACTAAATGCTGGTATCTGGGACCAGTTGAACATGGCCAAATGATGTTGGTTGGAGGAAGGACAGAGATGTGTGAGCACTCACAGCCCTACAGGCTAAGGGGAGGTAGAACAGTATCACAGGAGATCTAGTTTAAGCAATAAGCTTGTCTGAAAGTATGTGGGTGCCT